CTCTTGGAGGGTTCTGATTCGGGAATTATCGAACGTGGAAATTCTAGCGTTTGTATTCAGTCGACTTTTCTCAAAAGTCCATACACTGTAAAAAATATCCATTTTTTATGTGGCCGAATTCCGTAATTTAACACCTTTTTTCTGTTAATCGATGGATTTTTTGGAGAAATTGTGTTAATTGTCTGAATTATTTCTTCAAATTACGTGTTTTATGTATTTCTGTGGAATATTCAGTATTAAACAGGAAATTTCCGTGAAATTTAGGGATAAAATGTTTTATTGCCTTCTATAACGGACTTAATTCTGTTATTTTACGGAATAAACGGTGGAATGACAAGGAAGTTCCGTGAAATTTAGGGATAAAATGTTTTATTCCGTTCTGTAATGGACTTAATTCTGTTGTTTTACGGGATAAACGGTGCAACGATAAGTAATCGTATACATATATAATCATTCCTAATAATCATCATGTTATAGTATTCATTTCAATTTATTAACCATAATATGAAGCATCATATTTTGTAACGTTTGGTATATTAATTGACATGTATATCTAATTTCCATTATTTATAAGATCTATAAAGTGTATTGTTATTCATCATACGGTAATCAGATTGTAAGTATTTTCATAAATATGTAAAAGTATGTTTTAATGCTGCGGGTGTTAAGGTTGTAATATCTGGTAATCAAGCACGCTAAAGTCCGGATAGTTCAACCAGTTGGCCAGTGTAAGTCGGTTTGTCTCTATGGCAGAGTCTGCGAATTGATAATACCGCAAACTTACATCTGAAAGCCTCCAACCACTGACGAGTAGCGGTTTGTGATACCTTGCTCTCAATTCTTATAATAGCGCAAAGAGGTTACGTTTAAAAATTAATTGCGATATCACTTCGGTGGAAGCGGACGTTAAATAAAGCTATTTCACGCACGCGTATTAAGTCAATGGTTAATTCAATGAAATTTTTATCACCTTCATGGTCAGGAAACAAAATTTACAAGGATTTTTTTTTTCTGTATTTGAAAATGGAATTTATGTTAATTGAAGGAATTTCTGTAAATTACAGGAAAAACAAATACGGATAAAATTTTCCTGGTAATTTTTGTTTCCGGAATTTTTTACGTTTTTTCACGGAAATTTTTGTTACAGTGTTCAGTCCTGTCTCACAAAAAATCTGAGTTTTCATTTGGCGATTATAAATAATTAAAAATTTGATGTCATGGAATTTTGGTTACATCTCAAAATAATTTCTCGTCAATGTTACATCCAAAGTTTGAACATGAGATGTGTAATGTTCTATTTAAGATTGTTTTTGTTTCTTTTTTTTTTTTTGTCTTTTTCTGACTTTTTAGTCTTACAAATAATGCATGTCCTTGTAGCACCTCAAAGAATTTGAAATATTGAATTTTTTTTTTTTTTTTTTTTTTTTTTTTTCCAAATTATACATTTGTGTAAATATAACCCCTTCAAAATCTTCAATAAACTTTCATTTCATTTGCAACATTAAAAAGATTGGAGACGTTTTCTACTGTTATTTCAAGTGGTACATATTTTCAATAATTATGTGTTACAGTTTATATTTTCTTGATTTTCGAGGAATTTAATAAACTCTCATGTTGAGGTACTCTCTTAGTAGACGAGAGTCTGTCATTATGATTAATGCACTATTATTCTAAATTGCATCTATTCTCTGGGAATTATATTGTCTCTTTAGATTTCAATACGAGTCGTACTAATTGAAATTTATTTTCAAGGAGGCGTGTGCAAAATACTATACTTGAACTGGGCCAATGGTTTGATATTCAACATATGTGAGACTAGGGTTATTTTGAATATAATATTTAAAATGAATTGCATATATTTTTTGAGTGTGATAATGCATCTTTAACTCTATTTCTGTGTCATGAAACCTATATATTTTGGAAACCTATAAATAGTTTTAATCATAGTCTCTAATACCTCAATCTGGATATTCTATGTTATTAATTACAATGAACTGGCTTTAAGGGATGGTTTCTCAAAGATAAAAGTACTTATAAATCATTCAGTGACAGGTGTGTCATATAGGTGCAACGAAACAATATAAATTACGTAGGAACTAAGAACCCTCATAGAAAATAAAATTCATCTTGGTCCGCTTTCTGAGTGATGAAAAGATAAATTGCTCTAAATTCAGATCAATTTTCTCAAAATAGTGTTGACATCTCTAATTTGAACCTATAAATAATACAAAGTTTACACAAACCGTATTCTTACAAGAACACAAGAAATAAATTATCTTAAGAATAGTCTTTGATGCCAAGAAATCATTCCTAGTGTTTGAAGTGTCATGGGGTGACGGATGGTTTACAGTATAGTTTCTTCGTTTATTTTTGTGATTCCTGGGGTTGTTTAGCCATTATTTACCACTGTAGGTAAATATTTACCTATATTCATCAACCGATGAGCGTATAAATAGGCTGGGTTATATGAATAACGTGGTAGAAATGGTTATTCTTGTGCCATTTCCATGCCGTGATTGACTGCTCTTAACTTTGCAAAATTTATCCAGTTCCTCGGTCATACAACAATATTATTTATAGGTGGCGGTTTCTCGTTGACGTTTTTACACCACGCGCACTAGCTATAAGCAGTAAAATTTGATTTGCAGGACACATATCCCACAAACTTTGTGTTATTTTTATGTCTGTACCATTGCTTTAGGTTTTTGTTGATCTGTTTGGCTTTGTCTATAAAACAAATCGTCGTGTGATGATAATTGACGCTTAACCTAATTCGAGTTCTACTTATTACTTACATTTTGATGATGCACTTAAATTCATTCTACAGAGTATTAAACAATAGAACAAGAATACCAATATTCTAATTCTATGATCTATGATTAAACCAAACTGAGTCAACTATGTAAAGTACAATCCAAATCATACTTCCGTCATCCCCACCCCCATCCCCATCATTTTCGCAATTTTGTTCAAATATTTTTCTCTTTCAAAGTATATCCAAAAATGGTTACATTTAGTTTCAACATCATCTCATTGTGTTCAATCTTATCTTTGCTCTAGTTATCTTGGTCATCGCAAAATAATAAAACATAAGAAAACTGAAAAAAAACATGCTATTTTTCTCGTGTGAACTATTTCTTAATAAACGTCGAAGAATTTTCAATATGTCTATTAAAGTCCTCATGGTTATAAGGACGCGTGAATAATATTTGTTTATAAATGCACACCATGTGTGATAAAGATAAGTTTTGATAAGGTGTGCTGGTTGATATTAAATAGGGAATATAAGGAATTTCATAGATCCAAAGACTTACTGGAGAAGTTCCAAGAATTTGCCCTATAAATCTAGTGTCACTTGTTTTTTAAAATTTAGTAATCTAAGAAGTCTGTGTTCATAACTAACCATTAATGGGTGGTGGCGACTTGACATGTGGTAACGAAATATTTGCTGTCATATCTTATTCATTTCGAAATGAAATTCTTTACTTAAAAAGGCACCATACTCTATATATATAAGTAATGAATACTAAGCTGAAAGAAAATAAGATTTTACGGTGGGGCAAATAAATATTACTTTATATAATAACGAAATAAACTATACTGCTGAGAGAGAGAGAGAGAGAGAGGGGGGGGGGGCACCGTACTCTATAAGTATTGAATACTTAGCTAAATTGAAATAAGATATTATTTTTTATTTTACATAAAGAGAGAGAGAGAGAGAGCTCACGTATGTGATAATCTAACAACAGGTGTTAAAAGTTTCCTGTGTTAAACTTTTTTTTTTTTTTTTTTTTTAAATATTATTCAGAAATTGGTCGCTTGTTTCGTGTTAATCTGTGCCGTACGCTTATTTAAAGGGAGAGAAATCTATTAAAGTGAGTGTGAGATATGGACTCAGACTAGCAATTATTTGCCCATTGACTTTAATGTTAAATCGCTGTAACATCACAGGCTGTAGCTTTTTGCTCAACATTCCGTTGGTTCCAATCTTTATAGGCACAATGGGGACCACATTTGGCAATATCCTCATCATAAATTTGTAGGGGGTTGACCGTTTAGATTTTTTGCTACGGGGATTTGAAGTTGACTGGGGTGAAAATCTCACTTCCGACACAATGATTGCTCTGCAGAAAGACGCTTTACACCGCATATCCCTCCTCTGTAATATCATCAGTATTACCCAAAACTGCTATGAAATTGCAAACTTGATCCCTTTTCTCCAATTCTAGACCAAAAAGTCAACCCAAAAATGCAGGAAGAGGGGAGAAAAAAATTAAGGGAAAAATGGTCTATTTATTACTAGTCTTAGTACTATATACCTCACATGTTTCTGCAGTTTAAACAAATCTGTTGTTATCTAATAAACAAACATATATGCAATGCCCTGGCCAAAGATTATGAAAATCTATGAATTTTCAGATGAGCTGTGCAATGTCCTGGCCAAAGATTATGAAAATCTATGAATTTTCAGATGAGCTGTGCGGCATTCTGCAAACACTATAGGCCTAATACATCAGAAAACTGCGGAATTTCAGACAGAAATTTAAAAGCACATGAATTTTGAATTAAATACTTACTAGTCTTAGTCCATGTTATACATTATAAGCTATTAACTTTTGAAAGGTCTCCATTATTAAAAAATCTATATTATTGTTTGGAAATAATATCAAGTTAAGTGCACAAAACTAACTGAATGGGTAACTGTAATATAGGAACAACAGGTAATTAATTTGTTATTTAACGCGTAAACTAAATATAGGCCTAATCGCATTAAAAAACAAAATCAGTGCATAGTGAGTATAATTGCAGAAATAAATGCAGACGTCTAAATTTGGATAGTGTCTCTTTTTTTTCTTTTTTTTGAAAATTATATTCTACAATCTACACAGTTGCTGTAAATCAGTAGCCTATATTGTTCATATTAGGAGTGTCTTAAGATTTCGTTTCGTTTTATTATTATTAGGTTGTAACTTTTTTTTCCTCGGAAATCCAGAGTTATCTCCCCTGCAATAATGAAAACATTTATGGGAGAAGGTTGATTTGTTTCTATAATTTTTCTTTAAGTTTATTTGCAAACATGTCTCTTGTATCATATGGTGCAAGTGATGACAGCGGTGATAGTGATGATGAAATTCAAGATAAGGCGGTAGAATCAAAAGTAATGTCCGTCATGTCGGGACAAATCAGTGATGATGAAGACGATTATGCAAATGCAACACCAACGTTGTCGACAGAAAATTGCACAGGCGTTTCTAATAATGCATCCAGTTCAGGTATACAAAATAAAAAATTCTTATGAGTTTGTCTAATTTAAGTAACAACCATCTCTGGTAATTTAGTATTATTTTATGGTCCTAGGCTATCCGTTGCACGTCTTCATTAGCCCAGTCGTGCAGAACAGATGTTATCCATTTCATTTCATTTCTATCCGCTGCAGCAAACATAACGATTTACTCAATACTATGAAATACCACAGCATACTGATTCATTAATTATTGTCAACCATTGACAGAATTATATAAAAAGAAAGCCAATCAAAATATGCAATTTAGACATGTTCTAGTGGAGGCTGCCGTCATTGTGAATCATAGTCAAAACTCAACAATAATGTTTGCAGTTGACTGAGTTGTGTGTCGGTTTTGTTATTATGTACATGGGTATCTGTTTATATTAATAAACCTTGATATCATAAATTTACCTTAATTTTGACGATTGATTAATAAATTGCTTAATAAACCAAACTTGTCAGATTTATCTCAATGCTTTATTGACAATGTAGTAGTAGTACCGGTAACCTTGTTGTATTGATCTACTTCTTCAATGAGACTGGTTGCCTTAGGACAAAGCAACCTCATGCCATGAAATAGTCCAAAAACATATACTTCTTGCCTTCTCAAGTACTGTTGTCAGATGACATCAACAGAGAATAAATTTAGTTAAAGAGGTATTTGTCGTGCTTGTAGCTCTTTGGGGATTTTCCCTCGTTGATAAGACAAATTTCAGTAACCCTCCTTGGAGATTTTCCGTCATTGATAAGACAAATTTCAGTAACAAGTCTTTTGTTGTTTTGAATAAAATATATACCCGATATTCATTAATTGTATTTATTTTTTGGGTGTGGGGGATAACACGTACCTCTTTGAATTTTAAATCCTTTTAAAGGTGAAAACTCTAGATTCATTGGAAAAGTTCAAAACTAACCTTTTCCTGCCTTCCTGGTCCATATCTTTGCAAAAATCTATAAGAGGCTCCAAGGAGAGGTCAGATATTTCAGATATAATGCATGTATAAGCAATAATTATAAACTATCCGTTTTTCATTTTGCTATAAAATTATTTAAAATGAATGTTTAATTTGTAATGCATTCATTTATTTCTAAAACTATTTACTGTAAAAGAACAAATATCTAGAATAAGAGAGTATGCCAGGTCTTAGCCTACTGGTGTTGTGTAGTGATGGGCCTTATTTTATTTTTAGTTTCAAAACTTTAAAATTATAGACTAACTACATGTACAGACTTTCTATTGTATGTTTCAGGAAAAGACAAACAGTTAGACGATTTAAATGAGAATTTCTTGCACAATAATTTACCACAACCTAAATCTTCAACAGCAACTGATGCTAGTGTGGTTTTAGATGATACATTGGAAGATGAAGTTAAACCTAAAGCATCTCAAATGGCTGATGCCCCAAAACCACCACCAAAGAGAGCAAAACAACCAGTTAGGATTACAATACCAAAACTAACACCAGTATGTAATAAATTATGAATTCCTTTCTCTTTTTTTTTTGTTACTATTTCTAATACACGTCTGTATTTTTAACTTTTAAGCTATTTAATTATTGTGTATAGAAGTTTTGAAGTTCCGGTACTATTAAAGAAAATTTAATTAATGTTTTTTCTGTGCGCTCATTAAAAAGAAATGTTTGATTTACTGTCATTTTAGGATGAAGATGATGAGCCCAAACAGAAAAAACAGAAATTCACACCATCTGTAAGTTCTTAATCTCTTATTTATATATGATTCAAAGCTCAATAAATTGTTATACATTAATGTGCTGACTGATCTGAACTCATCTACAATTTTTAGAAATTTCACTTAATAAAACTCAAAATCTTGTTAATTGATTATCTGGATACTCTGCAGTATCTCACCCTAATTAAAGATATATTATGGGAGATAAAATAAAGGGATGGCAGTTATCGCTATAATAGTTAAAAACTAGATAGTGTAAAGGTAATTTGCTGAAAATTTCAGTCAAATTGATCCACTATGAGCCGAGAAAGAAGCGGGTGAAATTTTTGCATAGCCTCGGTCATCATTACTAAAATCATTAATATAAACAGCATAGTCTCGATTATCCACTTTTTCTGATTTAATTATCTTTGGCCGTTAGCGGCATATAGGAATCTAATCCAGCCAACATCGAAGGCTAACCTTGACATCGAGAGTTTATTATGGTCTGGATAAGTTAATTAATGTCTAATTGACAATTTAGATAACATTTCAGGCCTAAAGAAAGACTTGTAATAAGCAGATTTTGCTCTTGCATAATGCATGTTTAAAGGCTTTGAAATATCTCGTTTTAATAACATATGTCAAGTTAATGTTCCTCAAATATTTCTCATAAAATGTTGTCCATAATTGTTTGGTTATAAACTTGACTCATCGATTGTGATATTCATACATACATTTTTGTGATCTATTTTTATGCAAAACATAAATTTATTAATATTGTATGCATTGTGTCCGGTTTGTGAGACCCAAGCAACACACTGTTAGATATATCCGTCTTGTTGTGAGAACAGTACAGTTTTGTTTTTGTAAGCGATTATTCTGACATCTAGTCTATAGTTGTGTATTAATTAAAAGTAAATTTGTATCAATGTATTACATTTTTATGTGTCAATTTCAGAACCAGTCAAGTGGACTGACATCTATTCTACCTCCACCAGTACATGCAGCTAAAAAAGAAAATAACAGAATCTTACTGCCATATTCACTGGCTAAGAAAACACAACCCAAACCAGCTACAAATGTCACTAAAACTACAAACTCTAAAAATGCAGAGGAAATAATTACTAAACGTAAAATGAGTGCTTTTCAAGCAATGACAGGTTATGAAAGTGACAGTGATGATGAGGATTCTGGTTCAGGAAATTTCTTTTCTCTGGATAAAGACAATTCTTCGGAACATCATAAACTTTCCACAAATTTACCACCATGTTTGCCGTCGGCTTCTGAAATGTTACCAGATATCAAAGATTCTGGTCAAGAGGCAGGGTCACAGTCATTTGCCCCATTACCTAAAGTTATTGTCAATCCAGATGCACCATTAGACTTTAAATCTGGTACAAAGAGCAGCTCTTTTTATAGTACCTTACCTAAAATATCACCAACTACAAGTAGTTATACAGAAACACAGTCTAGTAGTACAACAACAGATGAATCACAGCAATATTCAGATTATAATATACCATATCAACAGGTAATTATAGAATTTATTTCCCAGTCAAAAGGCAATCAATAATAAATTATGTGTCGCTCAGGCACTGAAGCCTCAAAGAAATATGGCTGTGTGGTTTATTTGGTAATACTCCTAATTGGAGAACAACATTAAAATATAAAACAACATAATCAACAGCCGATTTAAAACAAAACTAATCCTCAGTAGAGTCTCAGTCAATACCGCTATTCAAGAGAGATTTAATCTCTTTTTACCTCAATAGAATTTGCCCCTATTTGAACCCGTTTTTATGTTTATTAAATTTTTAATGTGTGCTTATTGTATTCTTTTTAGTATGCAGAGTATAGTGGAGGCTATGATCAAGAAGCTGAAAATCAAAGCCAGATTCAAAATTATCTACAAGACGAACAGGTAAACATTACAAAAGTATTCTTAAAACAAGTTCTATTTTATGTGTTCTGGACCTTTATTATCAGAACCAACAAGATGGCCACGTGTGTCTGACTAAGCTCATATCTGCCTGACTTAATTCTGACTAGTACTTGTTTTTCAACCATGTGGGCCTAAACAAGTTAACCTTCTTAGGTAGTAAGTACGGGAGAACTGCACCAGTCGACAAACCTGCTGAGTGCAGACAACAATTTAAGTTGGGTAAGACATTATACAAGTTGTAATTGAAAACAGAGTTAATCATTTGGTATTGTAGACTTTAGTGTCAAGATTGGATAACAGCTTGACTTTACGTGATTGAAATTTTTAGATCTTATTTTAGAACTTCTTTTTTAAGTTTTTGAGACTTCAAGGAAAGAAAGAGAGAGGGAAAGAAGAGATTAATATTATTGATGCCAATATGGATGATATGATTAATAATGATATTGAAATTACACGAAGTCTAACTGAAGAATCAGAGTATAAAGCACATAGAAAGAAAGATAATATGCCTTCAAGTAAACAGAAGAGAAAGCATCAAATTACTTATTTGGCTTTTCAGGTAAGAAAATCCATTTATTTTAGCATTGATGACGATGTTAAGGAGGGGTGTCTTTTTTTTATTTGACAGTTAGAAAGTCATTAATTTGTCCATATATTAGTCATATCAAAATATAGTCAATGAAGAAAATAGAATATTGAAAATTAGTGAACCATTGATTACCGTACTGAAATATATTGTCTACTTTATTATAGGCTAAAGAGAGAGAATTAGAACTGAAAAATTCATGGGCACAAGGACGAGCTTCCAAGCGACAAACACAATCTAAGTATGGCTTTTGAAAAGTTTAATATTTAGATTGATTTACTACTTGAGCAGATGAATAGCTATTGATGGTTGTCATGGAGATAGGGAAACCAAGACAGTGATACTGATAGTCTGATAACTAGAAATAAATCATTAATGTAATCTGGATTCGATATTCTTACAGACAGGTGCACGGTGGGAGCTAAATAGCTTTTAAAGAGTCTCAACCGAGTGCCATAAATATATGTGGTGGTACAGAAGGGGATGACACCACCCGCTATCGAGACCATTTTATAAAATGGTAAAATCTATGCCCCATTTTCTAGAAGATTATATTATTTTATTACCTGAAAATAGTTCAAAAGGTAATTTGCTTTGTTTCGCATAACAGCCCCACCTTGTTTCACTAACAGCCCCACCTTGACTTTTGAAAATGCCTCAAATTTTGACCACTATATTACCCTTTCTAAGTTTTCAGTAAGTATCTGTGCCAAAAATAACAGAGAGTGCAAAAATCAAGTGGCGCATGAATATCTGTACTCGCAAACTCACTGTCACAACACACCTACTTACACAGGTGTAAATATATTTGTGTTATTCAGTAATTTATTGTAAATACTGATATAATTAATTGTCTGTTATTACATATAAATATACAGGTCTAGTTGATTATAAAATTGAATTTGTCTTATCTCACTCTCATATTATTGTATGCTTGAGAAATCTATTGATTTTTATACATGTACATATTGATGTATATAATAATTAATAAACTGCTGTAGGTTTGTTTAATATCTGGTTATTTAATATTCAGATTAATATTCATAAAATACAGTACAACCATAGTCTACATACACAACATTCACAAAATGTTCGACTTTTCTTGTTGTAAATCATAATTTACAAAAACATAACTATAAAGGTAATACCAGTTGAAACATGTGGCAGTGTTTATATAATTTGGGTTTTTGCTTCTATCCCTTTCAGAGGATTGAACAATCATGCACTTCACATTGGCAGTGTAGAATATGATCATACTGTAGATCTAATGTTGATGATAATATCTAAGATATGAAATGTTGATAATATCTGGGATAGGATGCTGTCACAAACATTTCTGATAGCTGAAATCAACTGTGATTAGTATATGTATTCAGAACAAAGGCACCATCTGTTTTCAACTATGTTTACCTTAACTGAGCCAGTCATATAATGAAGCTCTGTATGTAGATACACCTGTCAGTGTTGTCTGCGATATCACCCTAGGTGGAAGGGGACTCTTAAGCTCCACTGACTGACGGTCTGTTGGTTTTTATAGAAGTATGTATAGAAGATAAACCATTCGGCCACCCAACTCCCCCTATATGGAAAAAAAATGAAATGGGGTTTAACGTCCTAGTGTTCTGCTCCGACTGGGCTAATGAAGACGGCATATGCAATACAGTGTGCCATGAGGGAATTTTGCCCGTGCAGCAACACTATGGCCTGCTCGTATATCAAATTCCAACTGTCAAGGGATCTTTTACGTGCCTGCCAATGTATACACGGGACCTCAAATTATAAACCTAATAATATTGTTAATGATTATAGTATAGGTTATGTATGAGTTATTTTTAGCTGTTATAAAATATTTAATATAAAAAAAATTGTATCATTTGTTTAATAAAGTTTATTTCAGATATGTGCAGAGCATGGAATGTAAAAAAAATATAATAAAAACTTTTTAAAAACCACACTATTTTGATAGAAATATATTATTACATTATATAAATTTAAAATAAATTTCAACATAAAGTGAATGGATGTACATACTGCATAACAAAGCTGCCATGCCTATTCAGTCAAGACTAATATTCTGATATAACCTATTATAATAGTCTTTTTAAACATGTAGCTCAGTACATGAAAAGATAATAAGTCTGGTGACTTTATTTGAGACAGACTGATATTTTTTTTCTATAACATAAGCAGACGGGGGGGGGGGGGGGGAGGATCTATCCATAGCAGCAGCAACTAAATTATCAGTGTGCACAAAGTACTTGAAAAGGGTGTCTTTTTGGCACAATTGAATGTTACCCACAAAAACAGGAAGATTACAGCTAACACTTGAATACATGAAATTGGCTCAGTGAGTAAGGTGCTAGCTCTCTAACCAGGACCTCCAGTTGGTGGTCGAAAAAGTTCCTCACGATATTCAACCTAGTTTCCCGATTATCAGTGGTTTAGTATGGAGGGCCTGGAAAGGAACAGTGTCTAGTCGTTTGGATGGAATGAAATCCAAGGTTTTATGTGCACGTAAGGAATACAAAAAAACAATTATCAAATCTGATAAGGAGTTTAGGAAAGACATTGTAGTGTCATAAGAGTAATATAAGATTATAGAATAATAATAATAATACGGAAATTTATATCGCGCACAAACACCATAGTAACAAGCAAGATCCCTACACTACATAAGTTAAAGATGCATTGTGTAATAATATTTAGATAAAGAGCTGACTGTTATTGCTATAATAATACAAAAATAGATCATGTAAAATGAATATATTGAAAAAATCATTCAAATTTCTATATTCTGAAGTTATCACTGAAGTTTTGACAAGATGTGGCATAGATTGTTTATTATTGTAACAACCAGGGGCGTAAATACCCCCCCCCCCAGAAAAAAATAGTTGGTCGCAAAATTATGCATCAACAAATAAATGAATTAATGAGGTGAACAAATAATGCCAAAATAGAAGGGAAAATCCCAAATACTTTATAAATGTATGAATATATCTGTGTATACATGATTGCTTTAATTCGATATCACAATAGGAGCCAGTTTTTCAAAGCTCAAATTAGTAAAAACTGTTATGTATTCAGTAATGAAACAGGAACGCCTCAATAAGACACGATCCATCTCGACATAATAGCAGATCGGTGGTCAAACTTAACTCTGCCCCGATGCTTGATGAAAATATGAGGACATAGTCATATCTTTGCTAATTTATGTATATTCACCACAACAAAATATCACAAATATAGGTAAGAAGTTGTCATAGATTCACAGTATTTTGTATGTTCTTGCAAATTTCTTAATAAATAACATGAATTCCCAGAAAATGGCATTTCAGGGACTATAGGTTCCCAGACCCCCCCTAGAAGACTTGCACCTGCCGTCCACGGCTCGTGGCTGTGTCACTTATATTAGGGGCCAGTAAATCAGTCGGTCTCATTTTTCCTAACCACCCAAACAAAATCGATATGTACAACAGTACATGTTATTCGAGACAGCTTCGATCCACCATTTTTAAATTAAATGGTGATTGTGTTTTAATCCATTTAAATCTCCGTCATCTGATGGTCTAGAAAGTTGATTATAGGCTTGTCATGCGATTAAATATCTAAATAATAGTTTATATAACATTTGAAGCCAAAATAAAGACCTGCAGTAGGCACATTTAGCCTTTACATAATGCATCTTTAAACAAATTTAGAAAGGTAAAAAAATAAGTCGATATACCTGAAATTATAATGCAAGACAACTTGCATACATTTGATTAAATATATATTTCCTCGCAGTCAAGATCCTAAATAAATAATCACTCATTGAAAAATATATCAAAACTATCTAAAAATATATTAGTTGTCAATCAGTATAGTTGACAAAAAAAAAACTACTTTTATACAATACAAATATTAACACACGATTCATTATAAATGACACATCACCCTAATTGTAAGACAAGTTAATCAGCCCCCTCCCTCTCTAATTAACAGTATACAAATTCGAGGTCATATTCAGGTCCAGAAAAACGCCACGAAACACCACTGACAACACTATTTTTCTAAATTTTCGCAGAAGTGGGGGAGAGACACCCCCTATCCTCCCAAATGCATAAATGTATCATGCGTCTGTCACTGAAGTTAATGATATACAAATAGTGGCTGACAGTGTGTAATAAATAACTTATTTAATTTTATTTTGAGCTTATGGAGCCCCTTAAGTGCATGATTCCACCCTTATATTAATTTGTTATAACAAAAGAATTAATTCATTTAAATGAAATAATTATTTCATTTGAACGAATTAATTACTTTTTAACGAATTAATTACTTTTTAACGAATTAATTACTTTGTTTTTTAATGAATTAATATTTCATTTAAACGAATTAATGTTTCGTTTTACCGAATTAATATTTAAATTTAACGAATTAATACATAGTTTTCAACAAAAAATATTTCAACAAATAATATTTCGTTTTAAAGAAATAATTATGTAAGAGTGGAATCGTGCACTTAAGGGGCTCCATATCAGTTTATTATTCAACATGGATAAACATTTAACTTTTCCAGTTCATAAGAAATAACATACTTTTGTAGAGCAAATAGATGACCTGATTATGCTCAAAGAAACATAATTTTTTAACATTAACCATGAGAATTTGACACGTACATTCCATTATGGATAACAAGAAAAACTGAAAATGTATAACAAACTACTCTACAGTAAAATAATATTGTTTAGTAAAAATAATTTATCGAGTATATATAAACATATTAATAAAATTATAAATGTAGGCCTATGTACAAAATAGATCTAATTAAAACATGAACAACCAGCTTTATGAATATTTATAAAAAATCTTAATCTACAAGAAATTATAATATCATACAAGGTTATATAAATGAATATGAAATAATGAATATACAGTGAATATGAATAATGTATTTACAAATAAAAATGTTTTATAACAAATGTTTGCTGTCTTCAATATAGTAACATACCGCCACTACAAATATTTCTACATATGGCTTTTGAGGGCTTTCACTTCAAAAAATGCCCATTCAAACAATTTTTGACATATATCGTTTACTTCAGAAAAGATTTTTGTTTCCAAAGACTATATCACTTTTTAGCATTATCTCAATTTTTAAATATATCATTAAATGTTTTGTATCCCCCTGGCCCTGCTCTAGAATGGCCATGTTTTGCAAATAAGAAAAGGCATTTGTTTGAATTGAAATGGTCATTTATTTTTCTCATGAATTACATAAACCAATCATTGAATAATAACAATACTTGGCAAAAAAAAATAACAATACTTTTCCAACAGGGACATGAAGTAATAAAAATATACTAAAACATAAAATATATTAATAATATCAAAATGGTTCTATATAGAACCAATACAATTTAATCATGCATTAAATATCCCATTGTGCAGAAGATGGGGTATCTAATAGACATAAACAAATACTTATAAAATTCAGAATTATTAAAAATAAACATGAAAAGTTGATCATAAAGAATACTTATAAAATCCACAATTATTTAAAAGAGCAATGATAACTGAGCCTGAACATATTTTAATAAAGAAAAACAAATAAGACTTAAAAATTTCCTTAGTAAAAACTAACAGGTGGAGCAGGGGAAAGAAGGTGGTGTTATCTAAGAAAACAAACCTGTAATACTTATAGGGAAGAAATCTCCTCATGTACTTAAACACATGCAGTTGAGGAATGATAAACAGTGTTACCTCTCTTTCACCGAAATATAAATTATATTTCGCAATATTAAAAAGATCTTTTTACATATAATTTAACTGTATTTATTGTGTTTTAAGATTAAATTCTTTGAAATTTTAATTTTATGGCAAATAAATTGATTGACAGATAAATTCTCTAAATGGTCAGTTTCACTACTGGGCAGTCAAGCCTGGCAAATATGAACTAGATTAGAGCCCTGGGTAGAATGATTAGACCTCTGTGGGTAAAAATATCAAATTTATTTTGAAGTGGGTATAGATCTACATTTGAAATATTAGGTCTGCAGATATAGTTAAGATTGAGAAAAAACGATTTTCTGTTCCACTGTCAACAGTTTAACCCAAAATCGAAATTTAGTTGAATATATTTACAGAATCACGAAACAAAATAAACCATCATATCTACCCATTACTTTGCCCTAATAAAAAGAGGTTTAGCTCCTTTAAATAAGCCATTTGATTTTAGATTTGTTAGTATGCTGCATAAGCACCATTATAATAATTTCACATCCAGCAACACTTGTAGACAAGTGTATCAAACATGTAATCATTAATTATTAGACAATCCAGCAAGTCTGTCCAACAAATCACAAATAGAACAAGCAATACAGGAACACAGTAGATATCTATTCCCTGCAAAAACAGCAGACACAGATGAAAAGTTGGGGCAAGGTGTGCTTGCCACGTGCACAAAGGTTTTCCTAGTCAACATGCACAAAAGTTTCCCTGATATTAATCAACAAGGTTGAGAAACAACATACCATCATACAAATTAAACACTGAAATTTCTGCCAGCCTTGCAACTGTTCAATTTACCTATATTTAATACTGTTTCTCCCACTGAATGCAGTGACCAAGATGTTCAAGATGTTTCATAATGTAGTAGCACTCTAGATATTAACAACAATAATTAAAACATTAACCAGCATTTCTCTCTACTTGATCTATAGGTGGTGTGTTGATAGATTTATTTTTCGAGAGAAGCGGAGAATTTTCATCATCACTATCATAACCTGATGTATTTATTCGTTCATTTGTAATTTCATTTGATGTTGCTACTACATCCTTCATTAATTTCACCACTGTAATAAAAAACAAAATATTGTGAATCACAGTCCAGGTGTTTTGTTACTTCTGAATACTATTAATTATCAACATTTTTTTTTTTTTTTGCAAAGTAAATAAAACTCAACTTTGCATCTATTGAAAACTAATTTTAATGGCCTTAATCCAAAAAGAAAATGGTCTATGCATGGGGTGTGGGAAAGATGAAACAAGCTAGTTTCATTTTCTGATCATGTCGAATTTTCATAACCTCAATCGGGGCCCCATTTGATTATCAAAGAAAGTTTAACAATGGATGTGGCGCACTCATACTTTAGCATTTCCTGTCATTTGGTAAACTGACATGTTCTACTATACAGTTAAATCAGTGACATCCTTTCCAAAATGTTTTAAGTAATTGTTCATTTCATGTGGAATTCCCTCAATAAAATCAATATTTCAGAAAATCATGAATATCTGCAGAAAGCTTTAAATACTATGCAAAATTATCTAAATGGTTTTGACACACATCTATAAGATTCTAAAATGAACAACAAAACTTACCATCTTTTCTTCTTTTACCAATAGTTTGAGGTAATAATATTAATAAAAACACCAAACCAACTATAGCACAACTACCAGGTATAGTAGATATAACAGTTCTATAATATGGTACACATGCTGGGCAACAATTCCTAAAAGACACAATAAGAATTCAAACAGGGAAAACTATTTAATGCATAATACCCTTAATGATGAAATAAACACATGCAGCATATATCACCAGCCACTTTAATTTCAAAGAACATTTCTTTTCTGTTACAGAAATGAAATATCAAGTAGTTGGTTTCATACTTGTATGTTAAATGACAAAAAAACATTTACTTTATAAAAAGTCATATTTATTTTAAAACACATTTATATCAATCCCAAAGTGTCCCACGTTTAAAATCACTTCTCAAGACTGATGTATATAAAATGTAGCCATGTTGTTATGTAAAGAGCCATACTTACACACATGGATGAAACTGTTGTATAATTTCTATAGCTATACCATTAGACAGTTTATCTGTAAAACTCATAGCACCATATACAAATGCTCCTGATTCCTGAAATATGATTGAGGAATGTTTACCATTACCAGAAACACTGATTATACTAATTATTGTTGATTAAAGGTACATGTATTTCTATAACTTGTATTTACATGTCAACTAGTGACTTTATAATTTACTTATATTAAGATGCCAAAATACTTTAAATGAATAATAGGATCCGGAACTGGTAACCAATCGCTTCTCATTCATCTTGTTTTTTGACTGGGTCTTGGGGTGATGCTCCTCAAAAAAAGAATAAGACTCCACCAATTCAAGTACGATTGACATGAAACTTGGCATGATTATTTCTTAAACAATCGCACTTCGCTTGATGGACTATCAGTATTGATGTGACATCACAATTCAAAGATGGCAGTGAAGACTCCATGCTCGATTCCTGTTCATATATTACTAGTGGTATTTGTTTATTTTTTAGTAAGGAATAAATTTTGTTCAAAATAATAAGTAATATCTACCGTATTCTGTGCTATTAAATCAGCTGTCATAGCAAGAGATGTAACAAGCATGGTAGAACCACCCACTCCTAACAACACAGCAGCACCATATACCTGATCTGCTGTTGACTTATTGATGAAATATAACCAAACACAAGCACTAATACCAATTATAACGCCAACAAAATATGTTGCCTGAAAATCATAAAGATAAGGTCTATGTTCAATTTTTTGGGTAAGTGGTTTCTTTATTATAGTCATCTGTTTCTAGTTTAGCCAGTTGCATGTTGTAAATTTTCCAAGTAGTAAGAAGGTTTCTTTGCATCTGAAGACAATAAGGGAGATAATTACCTTTCTACCAATTTTTCTGTTAAGAGGTCTCATCACAAAAGATGTTACAAATCCACTACTAAACACAACTAATGGTATTATGGCTATAATTTTCTGCAAATAAAAGTGAAATAAATGTTGATAACACTGCTTTTTAATGTACACATAAAAAAACTTGGAACAGGTATTCAAAGCAAAGGTAAGTTTTGATAGTATGATTTATTTGCTTGTCGGTGTGGTTCTCCCTTGTAAGTTGTGCAGGATAGGAAGAAAACTGACGTCTTGTGTTCATATTAGCGTGCAAGTAAAAGCAGCCTTAACAGTTAGAATTTGAAATAAGCGCAGGTCGTAGTGCCGCTGTCTGGGAAAATTTAGAACAGCACACTGTATGGTGTAGAATCTCTAAAAGAAATATTAGAACAAAGTAGATCAATCCCCCAACATTAGCATCTACTGAAGATGATAAAAAACGAGTCAGAGCAACCTTGAATCTTGTTGGTTATTGTTTGAAATGTCTGTGTATATATTGTGTCCTGTCAATGGGTTTGTCTTGTGAAACTGCTTATGTGTGGTGCTGTCCCCTTTTTAATCCATTGAATCCAACCCAGCAGATTATCTACCTTTGACATTTTAATTTTGTTTTCTTAATTAAATAATCAATATGAGTAGGCCTACATTTTAGCGTGAATTAAGCCGTTACAAATCCATTCCATTGTTTAATGTATTCCTTAAAAAAATATTAATATATTAATCCATTGTCTCACCTTATTAAGTTTTAATGATTCAACACAATATTGTGGTAAATAAACTTGGGATACATTAACAAACAGTCTAGTACACATATAAATGCCACCTATCTGAAACAAACATATCAGTACAAATATAATATCATTTTTTAAGTTCACAATTAAATTACATAAATAATATCAACTATTTCAAGTTTCAAGTTCAGAATTACATTACATGAACAATATCAACTTTTCAATGGACATTGGGCATACTGGATGGACAAAACAAGTAAATAGACTTGAAGGTTTGATGACTTTGACGCCCATACAAAAATCACTAAAAACTTTTTTCTCTGTGTATATTTTGTGCAAGTCTCAATGGAAGGAGGGCAGTGACAGAATCACTGCAGTCCTATAGCTAGCAGGGAGTAGGGGGGCAAAGGGGCAGCTGCTCCCCCCTGGAAGACGCCCTGTCCATTGGACAAAATACAAAGCCAATGTCCAACATGCCAATATCAGTATGGGTGCCCCATAAATCCAAGTGACATTGGTTGGGAACTCATGATGAGATTGGTGGGGGGCCCAACCAATGTCACTTGTCATTATGCATAATGCCGATTGTGATTGGTTGTGTGCCAACGACTTGATCAATAGGGTGTGATTGGTAGGGTGCTTCATCCGGAGGGGTGCCCATAATGCCGAGATTGTTGGGCCGCCAACGACAAAATCTACCATAAGAAAACCAACTGGAGATTGTAGGCAATTTTCCAGGTCAAATTCACAGTGGGAATCTTCAAAATCCAACCTGATTCCGAACTTTTCGTTTTTTTCATAAATTATTATAGATAAGCTGAAGTCGTATTCCTTCCTTTAAATTTTTGTAATGTTCATATCCAACTGAAATTGAAATTTTCCGTCATTTTCATAGTTTGTCTCCTCGGGTGCAAACCCTATTTTCCAAAACTTCTGTGGGGAGAGCACCCTAGACTCTTCTCTGATAGTAGGTACATCCACGGTGCCCCCATCGTGGACCGTCAAGTGTAGGTACATCGGCGCCCTGAGAAACCCTTGCCCCCCCCCCCCAACATTTTTGGGCTAGCTACAGGCCTGTACTGTAGATGTTCGGCTAATTGTGCAGATGATGGCCATGTATAATATGGTTTCACTGTATAAATCATGAACTTTTTACTAACCTGGTAAAATTGAGGTTCTTTAAGCCAACATGTAACATACATTCTATTGACTTTAGATATCACAGATTCCTCTATTGAAGATCCAGCTTCAGAATCTGATAATGTAGTTGGCGGTCGTTCATCAAGTGAAACTGGTTTCTTCTCTTTAACTCCAACATGGAAGATAAAACTGAATACAGCACCAATACTAATAACAATAAACACAAGTTTCTGAAATGAAAATGAAGATTTATGTTTTGAAAAATCATACATTTCCCCAGGATGATTATCAAGCGGTTCGCTATAGTCAATGTTTGAGTTCACTTGCATTAAATGAAAACCCTTCTCTAATATCCACAACGATTTCATTATATAGTTTAGCTTTAGGACAATGCATGTGCATGTCAGGATGACCGACAGGCATCACACTATGGCTATATATACACTAAGTAAACACACCAATATCATTTCTAAGCTATTTTAGATATTTAGAACTTTATCTAGACCTTATATACTCTTCAAAAAAAAGTAGGGGATATTCAGAAACAATACAAGACTGTGGAAAGGCACTGCTGTTTTTATTAGAGGTAACCAGTGTATATTAATAACAGGCCAATTGCCTACACATAAACATAAACAGTACATATGGGCGGCTTATCTGACAACCCCATTTCACTTGCAAAGAGATATACTGTCAAAAGTGAAAATGGACGTTTTTGATTTCTGTCTTAATAATGAGTAATTGCTCCACCTATCCTCAGACATTCAGCAATTCGTCGTGGCATGCTCCTAATCAACCGTCCAATCACGATTTGGGGCAATCTGACCCACTCCTCTTGCAGTGCCATGGACAATTCATGCAGTCTCCCGATCACATTAAATGTAACACACTAAAGCAAAGTTATGCTAAACAGTAAATTTTAAGCAAAGTTACGCTAAACAGTAAATTTTATGCACGAACCAATAGAAAAGCAAACATGGATAGGATAAACCAGTCTTCATCAACCCTTCCATGAAGTGTCAAATTTGACAATGAACCCCTCCCACGTGTATGGCACTATTGGTGTCGCACATGCAGCTCAGTGGTTCTGTTGGGGCGATAAGTTCTTCATCTGTGAACATACTCTCAAAGCATGTCAAGTGTCCATGACTATGTATCATATGACAACCTGCATAGGTATTTGCATTTCAATATCCCCTACTTTTTTTGAAGAGTATAATTATGAGACATGAAACTTTTTTTCATCAATTGTGTAGTCTCTGTTATCTTATCTACTATAAAGTCTAGACAATCCAGCCCGTTCAGACTCTAGACATTGGTTCACAAATACAGGTAGGTCAAAAGCAGCGAGTTTTAAACTGTAAACTGATGTTGGACTAGAATATCTATTAGTATTCTTACACTGAAACACACCTCACAGGGAAGTGCTCCCATGTGCATAGGTGCCCGACCTGTTCAATTTTGAAATTTTGACACCTTCCTGCAAAATAGCTCAGGACCAAAAAGTCATCGGATGTCGATCACTTTATATTGTTGACTACATGGCAAATCTTTTTTCACCCCAAAACATACTATATTAATTCTATATGCACTTTACCCTCCTGCCCGAAAATCATGATTGCCCAATTGTGTAAAATCTCTAATGAATCATTTGATCTTACAGAAAACAAATTTAATTTCTAGATTGAACATTCTAAAAGGCAGATTAGCACAGAATTCTTTAAAGCACAAATGGTACTGACCTGAAATTTTGGAGCATCTGCAATTGAAAGTTTTGAACTTCCACTGTCATGTAACTCAAATAGAAGCCAAAATATCAAGTAAACAGCCAGATTTGAGAGAACCGTAAATGCATATCGAAGACTGTTTAATCCAACTCGCTCTCCTTCATCTGAAGTTAATTCTGGTATTAAAGAAAGATGGGATATCTGGGTTGCTGCCCATCCAAATTGGAAGATAACCACAAATGGTGCATAATACGCAAACTGAGCCCAATCTGGAGAATTCTCACAAGTGATACATTTGTTGAACAAAAATGGAAAACTTATTAGAACACTTAGTGTACCTAAAAGAAAAAAAAACGTATTGGCTATTGGCATTTAAGAATTTAAAGGGACATAAACCTGTCAATGTCATTGAATATTTTGGTATAGTCCCATCAGCCATAATGCATAGAATGATGTACATGGATTTTCAATCTGATTGTCTTTTAGATAAGTCTAGACGCTGAGATAGATTTTACGGTTTTATGTCACAATTCCAAGATGGTGGCAATGACATGATGAATCGGAAAAATGTGGGCTTAAAAAAAACTTGACATTACTTACCCGTTAAATGCCAGGTCTTTCTCTTCCCAAGACCTAATATGCCTGAGGTTCGGTCAGATTCAAACCCAATAAATGGTGTGCAAACCGCATCACTGATCTGTCCAATTAACATTAAATTACCCGCCAAACCATTATTAAACAGTTTAACTTGATGAAAAAATATCAATAAATAACTAAACCACATAGACGCACATAAATCATTTAAAACGTGTCCCACACTGTACGTAAAGCGCTGAACTTTCTTGAGGGCCATTTTAAATTTTATACTTTGATATCAATAACTGATATTTCTTTTCAAATTGACAGTTAATTAAATCGTTATCTGCTGCTTTTCTGGTTTCTTGTTTTCTGAAATGAAAAATATAAATTGAGTAACTGGGACAAACATTTCTAATATTAATCAAAAAGATAGGTTGCCAGACAACGAAACATACACTCACATCAGCTCAATCGTCTGAGTTGTCAACAAGGGTTGTCACATATTTAATCTTTTGTAGGTAATGGGGGGGGGGGGGGAAGGGAGGAATTGACAAGACAATTTCCTACAGATCATATTATAACTTTTTTCCTGCAAGCATTCACAAGGTCCAATAAAGTGAAACAAGGACCATAACTCCAGAAGTAATTAATAGAAATTGTTGAAATTCAATCGACATCATTGTTTAACTAATTTAAATGATGCACATAAATTCCATACAGATGACTTTTGTTGTTTGAGCGTTCACAATGTTCAACAAAGTAAAACAATGTCCATAACTCTAGAAGCATAAAAATGATGCATAAAAATTACTTTTGTCGTAAGAGCATTCACAAGGTTCAACAAAGTGAAACAATGGCCAAAACTCTAGACGTAATTAACGAAAATTGATCGAATTCAATAGGATTCTTCATTTCACTAATTTAAAGGATGCATATAAATTTCGTACCGATCGGATGATAATTTTTGTTGTTAGAGCAATCACAGGGTGCAATAAAGTGAAACAAGGACCATAACTCCAGAAGAAATTAATAGAAATTATTGAAATTAATTAGGATTCTTCATCTCAGTAATGTAAATAACATATATCAATTTCATATTACCAGTAATCCGTTCTGATGTACTTGGACAGGGGTTCAAAAGCTTGTTCAATGGATATTGGCCATGTTCAATGGATATTGGCCTATATAGAGCATGTGTGTTGCAATTGCTGTCCATGTGATTGTAATAGTATACTTTACATTGACCTTAAATGCTACACATGATATGATGTATCTGCGACATTCATTAATTCAAACATTTGAATTATTTAATTTATACTTAGGTTCATATTAGTTTCAGTCCTGACTGATAACATATTACTCTTTAGATTTAGTTATAACTTTACATTATTCAAACTATATCTTAAAAGCATTTCTTTGCTTCATGAAATATGGCCATTATTTTGTTATATCTTTTCAACTTGTTCTTATAAAAATAAAATTTAATATCAAAAAATGTAGATACAAGTATAAACACTTTGCTAATGTTTTGACTGTGGAATTTAAAAAGAAGCATTAGCATTAAATATTTGCTGTTTTGTAATTCTTTTTTTCCCTATTTCAAAGATTTGACAATGAAAGAGTTGAATTAATATTTGTTGTTTGTTGCTTGAAATGTCTAAGTAGTTTGTCTTATTCATTTTGTTTTGTGTGTAGTGCGGTCCTCATGCAGTTACTAATAGGGTACGCTGAAATAAAGCTGCATCCAAAATCTGACACAATCTGTCTTAGCTATAAAACTTTTTTAATTTAGATGTTTTCAAGACCTTTCCCTATGCAAATGTGTATAAGAGATTTCTACGATGAAATATGCAATGTACAAAGTACCGGCAGTCTAACCCAAGATTATTTAGATAAGGTATTCAGACATGTAACAAATTTTAATAATCTTATCAGTGTTAGTGATGTAGGTGACTAGTACATAAATGCAACAATATAATTTAAACTAAAATCTTATCACAACTGCGGATGTTTTTTTGTAATAAATAACTTTTGTATAATCCATATTTAGCATATTAAACACACATTATGCAAATGCTAAATCTTCCTATTGCAGGTCTTTCTTTAGGCCTGAAATGTTATCTAAATTACTAATTAACCTGCCATATTTAGCGGATTGGAATACATTTTGTGAAGCATGATTAAACATAAAAATGGATAATCGAGTCTTTGTTTTCATGATCAAGGCTAGTCTAAAATTCAAAAGCTATATCTCGGTTCAGAATGGAGCAATTTGACTGAAATTTTCAGCATATTCTATTTACATTATCTATTTTTTAACTACTATAGCGAGAACTGTCAACTCTTTTTCTAATCTCCCATAATACCCCTTTAAATAATAATAAAAAAAAATAATAATTTACAGAAAAATAAAAAATATTATACCCTCAATTTTTTTTTATATTGGATAGAAAACATATTGGGCTAATTTTGGAATGAAAGTTAATTGCAAGTTCAAGATTGCCCACAGCCATGTTTATGGTCACAATAAAGATTATAAAGTCTAATTATGAATCATTGTAGAACTGTCCTTTCAACAATTTTGACCAATCAGTTGAGCTACGGTTTACCCCACTGGGTGACTGGACATGGAATGACCCTAAACCAAAATCTTTTCATGTAATTAAATATTAAAGCTGTTAAAATGTCTAACAAAATCAATGCAATATGCTGCACACAGTGGACAAAACTACAAATTCAATATCTGACAATATTTGTCACCTGAACTCAAGGGCTTAATGATATATCTCGAACTTGTCAAAATTAAGGAAGTCAGATAGGGAATAATACAATATATGAGGTATTATTTGTACCTAATGAGTTTCTTGGAGATTAAGTTTATATTTCTTTGAAAAAGTCTCAACAATTCAGCTACTGATAGTTGTATAAAAATAGAATAAAAGTTTTTAATACTCTTTCACAGAATTAACCATTTTTATGCCTTTCATAATTACTTTAAAAATAAAGAATGCAACTTTTTTTACTCAAAATAGTATTACCAGTGATTTAAGCCAATATGCTCACAAAATTTCTTTGGTAAGAGATTGGGGTTAGGTGGCAGCATGATTTAACATTTCGCTTGATTTTGTGTGATTGAGTTTGGTTTTAGACTTCAGGTTTGACGATGATTCTTGCATGTTTGCATTAAATCAGATATTCACAAATTATACCTAAATTTCAACTCAACTTGTGACCTAATGTGGGTAAAAAGAAATCATGCAGCTGCTTTGTCAAAATTCCATGTGTACTTTTAAATAAAAATAACATATTCTCAAATAATACTCTTAATCACTTTCCATGAGAGAGAGAGAGACAGAGAAATGTGTTTTAACGTCCACTCGACACAAAGTATGTCATTTCGGGACTAACATATGGTTTAATTTTTTATTTCAATAATTAGCTTGCGCATAGGGGTCTTTAGCAGTGGGAGGAAACCAGAGAACCCGGAGAAAACCCACGAGGCTGGACAGGCGACCCTACTCCTTGTCACGTGCAACCGGGGATTCGAAACCACGCCAGTCGACTCAATGACAGACTTTATGATACAGTGCGCGCACGCTAACCATTCAGCCATCCAACCCCCCCACTTTCCATGAAACATGAGTATGACTGATATCTGGATCAGACATTTGAATCAGATAACAACCTGAATTGTCTGGATCTGATTATCTTGTCAATAGCGAAACATTTTATTATGGTTATATCATGATTGTCGTATACCATATATGCTGGAATTGCCCAATCAGGCAGCAAGATGTTTAATCATATTCAATATTCCAAAAAAATATTGATCATATTGAGGATATAGAGAGAGAGAAATGGAGTTTAACGTCCACTCGACACAGATTAGGTCATTTCGGGACTAACATATGGTTTTTAATTTTATTTCAATAATTCGCTTGCGCGTAGGGGTCTTTAGCAGTGGGAGGAAAACCCACGAGGTTGGACAGGCGACCCTACTCCTTGCCACGTACAACCGGGGATTCTATTGAGGATATATCTATTACTAATATTGATTTGTCATTGATAATAGGCAGGATTGATTAAATAATTAAGTGATCCACCCTTTTATATGCTGATTTTACTATTTGGTCTTTCAACGTCATTTAAGTATTCAATTCAATTGAAATGGTTCATGTATATAGTAAAATGTCTGCTGTTCGGTGCTTTTCAGATCCTAGAAACTCTAATTATTCCTTTATCTGTTTGTTTTTTAATATTACTAGATTTCACAGAATTAAATGAAAAAATTATTTCAAAGGAGACTTAAAATAGATTATATGCCATAGATACAAATGATAACGAATACTCATAAAAAAAAAAATCAGTTGGAATAGCCTTGAAAGGCTATTTGAATTTGAATATTCAAATATTTGTGTGAGCAATAGGCCCTACTATAAAATGATTCTTATATTCTAACAGAAGTCATTAATATAATGTTGGTTTTCTTTTCAAAGAAATACCAATTTATCTTTTTCTAATTTTGAATATGATCTCAGTGAACAACCATTCTAAAAATAAAGATAAAGTGGCATAAAATCTGAAGTATCCATCCAATTACTGTATTTCATATTTTAAAAAAGAATGCTCTATAATCTCAAAATTAAAAGTAAGTTTTTGATTTGATTTAAACAGTATTTTATTCATAAACAATGGAATTGAGCAACAGGCTAGAAAATTGTATTTATAAAGTAGGGTATGTTAAGTGTGTACGGACAATAGATTTCATAAACATTGCATATTATCATATACAGAAAAGTTGTGTGGAAGTATAGTTTGCACTGATTTTGAAATTTAAAATACATGACTTTGTTTGATGAATGGAGAAATGCTTTAGTTAATTTGATATTCAGAGCATGTCAGGCATATCAAATTATCCACTGGTATTGTAGGCTAATAGCCTATTAATTAAGCAGAATCTTACTTAGACACACAATTAGTAAATTTATGTTTATTTCTAGAAAGTTAGTTTTAGTTTTAATCGTGTAAATATATATATTGTTTATTCAAGATTCAAGAGATTGTCAATGCAAAGTAATAAGTTTTGTTGTCTATTTGTAAATTAAGGTGTGCACTGAATACATTTATACATGAGTTAATCTACACAATTGACTGGATAGAAATAATAGAAAGCCCAATATTTTTAAATGTTAGATAAAGATTACCGACTGCCAAAGACAAAAAATCGCCAGGTATTAGTAGGCATACCTCATCTAAATTTACAGAACATACATAAAGTTTCAATTAAAATAACTTATCATTACCCTTACAGATACTGGAAAGTAAACGCCTACATATATAGTATGTATAGCACTGCTCAATAAAAGTTTTGTTACCGTTACTGTCAGCTGAATTCAATTAATTCCCTCTCCGTTCATAGGACAGCATATGTAAGATAATAGAAACATGGAAATCGGTGATTGTGACAGTCACATGTTAATGAATCTATAGAACATAATATGGTACGTATTGCATTGTTTTGTTTACGTTTTTGTTAATTTTCTGTCACGGGAAGTAGGCTAAATATCACATTACCTTATCATGTGACTGTGCTGATATCATGTGACAAATTCTTTATATCTGGTCGCTTATGTGTTTGAAAACATGAGATGACACAGAAACGGGTTAAAACGTGATCCTTCAGTCATTCTGGGACTAACTAACGGTTATTTTTTTTTATTTTCACAGGTTCAGTGCTAGGCCTACTCTTCATCGAATTCCAGCAGTCACGGATTCCTTTGTGCACACCAATCGGTTGAGCTCAGTTGTTCGTCCCATCCGAATAACTACTAAACACTTTACTGGTCAGCCCGGCTTGTGCTACCCTTGACAAGGAAAAAATGAAAAAAAATGTGCTTAATTTTAAAGTGCACATCTTCACATTTGTCTTTTAATTATAAGACCGTTCATGGACTTTCTGGGCGATGAGGCTTGTAGCAGGATGTCGCGGAATTTCTCATATGTTTTCGATAAACTCTCTTGCCTAGTCAGTTCTGGTCCTAGAATAAAAATTCAGAGCGTAATCAGCCTATTTTGGATGTGAAATTTGCGGTTCCTGTTGTCTTTTAGTCTTCGTCCTGTCCCTTTTTTAGTGATTCTATTTTAGGCCCTTACGGAACCCCAAACCACTTAACTCCATTTGTCCACTCCGGTACTCCATGTCAACCATGGTTGGTGTCAAAGACAAAAGTTATCGGTAGTGGAACCATATTATACTCGCCAGTCAGCGGAACTGTAGACATATGGAGGGGGGGGGGCACTATCCCCGAAAATTTTGAAAAGTAGAAAGCAGCATTCCTGTTATCCTCTTGTGCGTTAGGGCAGCAACTAGAACGTGGTTTATGTAGTTTTACAACCGAATTCGATTCTGCCACCGCCTCCTGGATTACAGCGACTATATATAGACAGTGGTAAAATGTAGGATTACTTATTTGGATTGCAACCGAAATCCCATGCACTCCATGCCCACCTGAACGGTCGAGTGGCTTAATGCGTTCGCTTTAGATCAAACGGTTCCAGGGGCGTGGCCAGGAATCTAAGAAGAGGTGACGACTCCTGGGTGGAGAAAACTTAAAGTTTGGCATGACGTCTGGGGGTTTACAATATTCCTGCTTATTTAGGTAGCCTACATACACGTATAGGATTAGAGTGGAGTGATGTCAAAACGGTGTCAATGCTTCGCACGTTTGTTTTTTGGATCTTATTTCGATGAATACACGGGGCTTCGGGATTAATATGCTATGTGTGCGCCTGCTGTGGTTTCGAAATGAAAATTAATGAAATGTTGTTTAATGGCACGTCATCTCCAACCGTTCTATATTGCGCCAAACATATGGTGAATCTAACGAGACAAATTAAAACGATATCACATAAATGAATTTATATATGTAAATAAAAACAAATATCACAGAAAATATTATTAAAAATAAATATAACAAATCTTTTACATATATAAATATTTAAAACGATATACATGATTAAATATATACAATTAAAATTTAGAATAAAAGTTTGTCTCTTTTAAAAGTGAGCAAATAGCTGACGTACTACTTGGACGTGACAAGGAGTAGGGTTGCCTTCCTAACCTCGTACCGAATGACCTAGTTTGTGTTGAGTGGACGTAAAACCTCATCTAAATTTTCTGCACCAACCGGGGTAATGAGTGGGCATATTATTATGATATACATTGTGGTATGCGAGAAATTCTACCCCGATATCAAGGATTCTTTGACGTGCACGCCATGACGTGTATATACGAGCCTCAGATTTTCGTCCTACATCCAAATGACTAGATGCTGTTTCTTGCCAGCCCCCCCCCCCCATCCTGCATCACTTACAGCCCAACATCTCATATGTTTCGTCTTCAGAGACCCTTGCAAAGCTTCCTCACAACCAATTATCAGAATATAGCCAATAGGACCCCGAAGTCTGTGCGATTATGAACCCATTTTGCTGGTAAAATTGCGCAAATTATATCCTGGGCCTTTATTCACGAAAACTTAAACTAAGATACAATCGAAATTTTAAGAAATACTGCAATTCGATTGGCTGACCAGTAAAATCAATTTGCATATATCCAATGAAGTTGCAGTATTTCTTAAACTCTCAAAAACCCCATTGTGTTTATTTACAAGTTGCAGAGGTGACGAAGGTGCCTAAATTTAATTGACCATAGAATGATAAATATTTGGATCCTTATGAAGCAGGGGTGTCAAAGGCGCGAAATACAAGTTGTCAATGGGAAATAGAATCTACGCATATTTATTTACCCTATTTCAATCGGATTGTGCATTATGGTAAATGCATTGTAATCTGCCCTGTGAAATACTGGGCGGAACACAGCTAACTCAGATTGTTTTTGTCTTCTTTATTAAATGAACAGGACAATTGGAAAAATCTTGGCAGTGGGTATGGGGTGGGTATGGGTATGGGTATGGGGTGGGGTGGGGGTGGCGGGGGTCTTTTAAATATTTACGTAGACGTGTATGTAATATGATTGGTAGAATTTTTGCTCTTTAAATTAATAATAGCATTACATGTATATTAATATTATGTCCTTGGTTGGTTATTGGTCCCATATTCATAAACAAGACATATATACCGTTGTGGTTGAAGAGACACCATCTGGATTCAGAATGCCCCATTAGATCATAGGAGAGCTAAATGATGTCCGTAGCCCGCCAGTAAACTTGTTCAGCGAAATGGTGGGATTGAGAGAGTAGAGAATGACTTTTATTGTAATCTATGCGTGTAACCTATGTATCCAGTGCTTGATATAAAATGTTAAAACGAACTGTTGCATTTGTTGTTCCTGGTAGATAAATGTCTTAACTTTTGAGAATTGAACGTAAAAGAAGTCCTAAGAGAGAATTGAAAATGTGGCCAGAGACAAATATAGACGATCATCAGGCTAATAAAACTGTAGCGGAGTATGCGTCCCACGTTTGCTGTGGGAAGTTTTATGTATTTGTGCTTTCCACATCCAACCAGCGACGCATATTGCTAATGCCTGATGAGAAGTGGGCACTAAGATTCAACTTGAATATCAGTCTCGTCCAACCCACATCTTTTATCTTCTATATACTACGTGACCAGTCATTAAGCATATCTGTAAATAAACAAATATAAGGTTTGTTAGTACAGGCTTTCCCGAAATACAGCAGCTTGTGATAAATTGATAAAGAAAAATTAGCCCAGTAGCGGAGTCTTCTTTTGGACCACTGCGAGCAATGGTCCGTGACAAAAGGCACAGGAAGTTGCGTGACTGTTTCGTGAAATATTTGATAATATTACTATTGTTTACTTCAATTTACAACACATGAAACCTCTAAACACACACACGCGTGTCCACTACAGGGAATTTGCTACGGATAAAAGGACGTTTGCTACGTACCGAAGTAAAGTATCGCTGAGTTCCCCAACAACCGTAAAGAGAAGTGTTAATTGAAGGTCTTTTTGTCTTTCTTAAAAAGATGTGAGCCTCAATTCCTTGAGCATCCTATTTACACATGCCCATCGGTACCGTAATCTTTTATTAAAAGTTATTGACAGTCCTCTATGGTGATGTCTAGTTGGGTCTCACAGGAGTAGTCACTTCCAAAACCATGGTTTGGTTGTTGGGGAGGTGTTTAGGGATGCCTCTAACACATTAAAAATTTCTTCGAGAGGTCTAGGGCACAGTCTTCTAATGCCCTGTTTGATATGGCGATAGGACCTCGGGATTTGGCCGATTTGATTTTGATAAGCAGTGTCCGCACCCCTTCAATAACCAAGATGTCTTGTAACACTATTTTAGTGATAACAGAGATCAGTTTAGTAAATATAGGATTTATTTACATCAGGTATATAAAACAGCTACAGTTACATACATACAACAACAATATGGGAACTTAAACTATACAGGAACTAGACTACGACAGGAACACATATAACTATACTAAATCCACCATTCTGTCCCTCAGCCAAGGCAGCGGCTGAACTCGAGTGAGTCCATACGCCGGTCCCTCCGTCTCCGCTCGTCTCTAGTCGTCTGCCCAACTGTCAGTAAACTCCTGATTATATAGCGTCGGAGAATAGATAAGACACGTGGTCATAAATGCAATTTTCTCTTTATCACGTCCTGGTATTCTTATTGACCAGTGCATATTCCTTTGAAGTCATGTGGATCTTGTACACAGAGCATAATATGTAGTTTGTAAATGATAATTAATATTATATGGGATTAATTACATGTTTAATTAGATCATAGCCAGTCCGTGCCTTAACAGAAGTTTATACAGAGTTGAAAAGTCAATATCATATAATATCAAAAACCAGCTAAGCACCTTAATGACCGTTCAATTTGATGAAAGTTATAGAGTACTTTGGCACAGCCTTTAACAATATCAGTGACCCCTTTTGCTCACTGGTGGTGTTGACAAAACGTAGACCTGAATTGTCCAGTTAACAATTCGGCTTTGGCTTGAATGTGACTTAAAAAAGTTGGTCATTCTTCTTTAATGGGGATACACGAAAGTTATCTTTTTTGTCGAGAATGGTATCATTAATGTTGGACAGACAAAATTTTCTAGAGGCCGGGGTTAGAGATCCCCCCCCTCCCGGACACCCCCTTTCGTTTGGTACCCTGGCCCTCGCGCCGTTCCGGTGCCGCTGGACTCGAGTCTACCTAATAGACAAGTACAAAAATTCCTGTTGTACAGCTAGTCGTTTCCTTTGATAAACGTGTACTGCACCTCGTGATTAAAGTCACCAAATAAGATACTTAACCCCAGTCCTTAGAAAGAAGCATAATTAATATGTATTAGTGGCCAAGTTCCTGCACAGTCCTGATGATTTCGGTGGGCTATGTAAACATCGTAGGTACAGCTCTGTCTTACCTTTGAGTTGAATTAATTAATATTACCCATTCTAATTCAAAGTTGGTGACTGGACTTCTGGAGATGCCCTACGGAAATGTTCTCCTCGTGAACGATGATAAAATATACGCTCCAACCGCTGCGGTACATGTTTAGCAGATAGTGTCATAAGAAGGGTACGTGGCGTTTATTCCGGTGGTGCCACTGATTCGTGTAAGACTGTAAATCTAGTTTTAAGAACTTCTGCAATTAACATTTCGGGAAGCAGCTGGCTATGTTAATGGCTCGGATTGTGTGTGAATAACTTTATTTATCTTCAGTTTCCACAGTGAAGTGATATCGCAGATTCAGATCAGTGAGCTTGGTACTGGATGCGAGCGCAGTTCATCTACGTTCAGAGCTGAACTTATACGAGTGCTAATCATAACGGTAAAGCCTAGTTCAGTTGAGCTGATATTTTACTGTGGAGCAGTTTGCTTATCCAGTGGAAAGAATTCAGACTAGTTAACAAAGACTTATTTACAAAATGGCAGAAATCGTGTTATGTGATGAAGACACGGTATTGGAGCTAAAACGTAAAGTTATGAACAATGTTCGCTTTATAAACCATTATAAATGGCTGATAGATGCATACGTGTCAGTAAGTAAATTTTTGATTTTATTCACATGCTACATAATTAATATTTTCAATATTAATACAAAACCCTGACATTCGAGACTAATAATTTCTGAAAAAGTATGGAAGGCCGGTTATGCAAACTTGATTTGTCAGTTGGTAATAAGTTTTTAATTTCATTGTAGACAACATTAATATTAATCTGAAATGAAATACTGTTATAAAGTTTGAAACTAACCATTACATGCAAGCTTTACATTTAAAGATCTGCTAGTAGGGGAGAGCGAGGCACAGCAGGCATGATTTCTTTTTTTTAGTGAATTGGCCAGAAGTGAAATCCTACGGAGTATCAAACTATATGTATTCAGTTGGAGCAAGTCATATGTTCGATTTAACAGTCATGTTAAGAAGTTAATTAATTAAAACCAGTAGATAATTGTAAAACTGAAAAAAAAAATTTTGACCCCAATGTGCCCCTTGTGGGGTACACCGGGTCACACTATGGGACACTGGAAGAAAAAAAAATCTTTTATGTAAACAATTCCTATGACTTGTAAGTCAGTAGTGACCTAGCTTGGACCACTATTGGCTTTAAAAAAGCCCAAATATCCAGATTCTGTCTAAAATGGTCAGGCAATTTTTAGGTAAACTAGAAATGCTTGTGCTCAGTGTGTCCCTCTAAACTGTGAACCCACTATACTGTGCCCCCTTAGCAACCAGGACAGAAAATCAAAAATGGCAGGGGGACATGTGATAGTATTATGAAACAAAATATTTCTGATGAGAGACTATTACGTACCATCTCCTTCACCTGGGATTTCAAGTTTGTGGGCTCTAACAAAATCTGGAGTAGCTAAGCAGATTAACCAGTCCACCAAAAATTTACTTTTGTGTCAGAAAAACAGTTAATGACTGATAAATATTAATCAGCTAACAATAATTTATTGAATTTAAGAGGACAAATGCAGGCTATAAAGGGGAATTCCCTTTAAAATATAAAATCAAAAATATGGTTTTGAAAAAGTATCATATTTCGTTTGTCAACTATTTTTAACAGGATTTTTTTATATTTGGATATTGGAACAAGATAATACCATGCTGGAGAAATAAATTAGAAATGATGTCACCTCCACAACATTGTTTTTTTCTTGATACACATAAAAACAGTGATGAAGAAAACAGGTACTCAATAATATATTCATTTTCCATGATGTCAATTACAATTGATAATCAGAAAGTTTATAAATAAATACTTCAAAATTCTTTATTTATTCAACTTGCCAATCACATTTAAATACATTGCTCTTCTTTTTGATATTTATTTTTCAGAACATTTTTTCGTAATATTTTTGAATGGTTCCTTTCAATTTTTTCAGAACTTTGCTTCCTCTATCCATGCTGGCATTTTGTCAGTGTTTGAATTTGTTTTCTATAAAAAGACAGAGTATTAATTTTGAGACTACAGAATTACAAGAGATCCTAAAATCATCAAGCAAAGCTAAAACAAACAAAAGAAGCAATGAAAATGTCTATGAAACATTAGACTTAGAATCAAACAAATGTGAAAGACTTAATCATGACGGTGTTTCAGAATATTCTAATGGAGAGAGATCTGATGCCTCATCTAAAACTGCTGGTCATTGCGTATCTAGTGGTATAAAGGCCAGTTCAACACTTATTAATGGTCAAGACTATGCTTTATCCCATGTTTTTAGACGCCATGTGAAACCCAAGAAACAACATGAAATACACAGATTAGCTCAGGTAAATTATTTGTTGACTTGGGGATATGTTTTGTTTTTTTTCATCTAATCTTCTCATTACAAATGGCACTCAAGACCATAGAGATATGAAAATGAAATGAAGACAGGCATACACCATGTGCTATGAGGCAAATTTGGACTGGACAATGGCACTACGGCCAACACTTATTCAAAATTTCAGCTGTCACAGGTTCTTTCATATGTATGCCCACATTCACACGTGACCTCAGCTTACATCCCATCCGAATGACCAGACACTGTTCTTTGCCAGGCCAACCATCCTGCACACTTTGCAAGTGGAATCCACACTGGAAAATCTTGGGGAACCTTTTCTCGGCCAACATCGGGATTGAAGCTGGATATTTTCGCAGTAAGATAATAATATCAATATTGATTAAAAGAGACCAACTGAATTCTTATTCATGTAGTTAAAGTCAGATATTATCGATAATATTAAGTTAGATCTATATACCCTTTTTGTTTGTTCTAGGGTGTAAGTTTATTAAGTGATATATGTGGATGTAAGGAGATAGTAGATGTTGGAGCCGGACTGGGACATTTATCCCGTATTTTAACATTTAGTAAAGGTCTGTCTGTAACAACCGTAGAAGCTGCTGGTACACATGCTCCTAAAGCATTTAAATATGATCAGTAAGTTTATATACTAGTACAATTCTTTACATCATCTGCAGATGATAGCCCAATAAAATTTTAAACTGATTCTCCACAGCTAATAGACTGATCCTCCATAGATAATAGACTGATCCTCCACTGATCCTCTAAAGATGAAAGACAGATCTTCTAAAGATGATGAGTTTAAGATCGTTTGATCCTCTATAGATTTTTTTTTTTATAAACAATATTTTTATTCAGGATGTCTGAATGGGATTGGGGAACAGGCTTAGCCTATGTAAAACCCCTCTCCCTAGATAATATGCATACATAGTATTAAAAAAAAGGAACAAAATGGGTGTATATACACAGTTAAAATGACAAACACATACATATATAAGTGGAAATACATATATAATGAGATGGATTGGAATGTACAGTATATACTATAGGTTACATGGTAAGTAATTTAAAATTAATATTGTAAATTAAACAAAGAGTAGGCAAGATTATAATCTGTTTGACATATCAATAAACTTGTGGACTTTGTTAATAAATGTTGTTGTTTACATCGATACAGTGGGTTGAGGACCCGAACAGAAGACAGTTAATATTTTTGAGATCGTATTGTAATGTGTCTATGGTTTCCTTTTGTGCATTTGAATATAAAGAGCATTGCAAGAGGTAGTGATCAGGATCTTCAAAAATGTGACCACAGAGGCATGCGGGGCTGTCGGCAACATGTCTGAGGTATTTGTGGCCCTGTAGGTCAGAACATCGGAGTCTTAGTTTAGTATGGATTATCCTCTATAGATGATAACTCATTCCTTTAAAGATGATAGTTCAAGTGTTTATAGTTGATGGGTCAATCCTCCGTAGACAATAGGTCAATCGCTTATAGTTGATATGTCAAATGTTTATAGTGGATATGTCAAATGTTGATAGGTCAATCGTTTATAATTGATAGGTCAATTGTTTGTAGTTGATAGGTCAATTCTCTGTAGATGATAGGTCGATCCTCTATAGTTGATAGGTCAGTCATCTCAGTCCTCTAAATGATTATAGATGGGTTATCTATAGAAGATTTATCGATCCTCTAATTGATCATTGGTTGGTCATACTCTAAAGATGATAGGCTAATTGTCTAATAATGATGATAAGCAGATCCTATAAATTATAAACATTATGATAAGTGGATCATACTAAGTGATCGTTTATTGATGAAGCAAAACAATTTAATTTGCGTTATAGTTATATGTATAGTTTCATCAGTTTTATTAATTTCATCTTATTCAGGGAAATGGAGAGAGATATCAACAAAGTTATAAACAGGGTAAGTGTTACAGGTCTTGATATAAATTACTAATTATATACCCACATTGGTTGATATCCCAAAGATCTCGGTTCTTTTTGATATTGGCATGTATCAGACTGTAACTTTATGGATTATGGCCCCTGATTGTACGAAAAATCATGTTTTTAGCTTGTGGGCCCTCTAGAGGTCACAATTTTTATCCAACTTTGATTAAATTTCCATTCAATATTCAAGTATATCGGACAGCAATTTCCTGGGTTATATATTGTATAAAAAATCCTGTTCTTAACTTGTGGACCCTCCAAAACCATTCAAATATATCACTGTTACACCCTAATAATGGTTGAGTACAATTTTCATAAAAAAAACTCAGACCGAAACTCTTGCAAATTGTGGGCATATCTGTCACGGCAATCACTTGTTTTGCTTTTGTAGCAAACTGATTGTTCGAAATTTTGTACACAATACTTTTACAATTGCTTTATAACATCTTAGCTGCACATGACTATTTCTTTATATGAAACATTTGGTAAACGTCCATAGCCTTTATGTACATTTCTAACAAATCTTAAAGGAGCCGTTCTAGATTACACAGGTTAAAAGTTTGTTAACTATGCAAATCAAGCATCACAGTGTATTGTTATAATCCAATTACCTTGTCTGACCATTCAAATTAAACATCATATAGTTATAGCCCACCTGCCTTGTAACTTACACAATTTCATTGTTTATATGTATGAGTGACTTGAAAATCGCACAGAACAGTTGCTACTATATATGATACTGGCATATATATAGATGTGATTGTTCAGGCAACCCCATATGGAAACTGAAAGATGGAATTTCACAGAGCTTCAGATACATACATGTATATGTAGTTGCACAGGACTACGATAAAATCTCTTAAGTAAAGATACATTATGGGAGATTGTAATAGAGAGTTGACCATTCTTGCTTTAACAGTTCAAAAATAGATGATAAAAGAACAATATATTGAAAATTGCAGTCAAATTACTTTATTCTGAATAAAGTTATCACCATTGTAATTTTTGACTAGAAATAGGAGACAACTCTCTCTTAACGGTCTCCGAAAATGGCCGATCGTTGATTGACAGGCGTTAACACCACCTACATAATCTCAATTATCAAGTAACGTTTTCAATGGCTGTGGTACCGTTAGCCTATTATAGTATTCGGTTTGAGATGGGGTTGCAATTCAATTCGTATCACATTTATTTTTACTACAAATTAAAAATAAGACTTTTAATATAGATAAGAAGCGAAAGTTTGAAAGGAATGGACCAAATCAATGAGGCATAATTATAGCCGACTTCTTATTAGCCTGCGTGTACTCTTGTACTGTAACTGGTAGGCCTACGTAACTCCCGAAGCAGACAAATGGGAAACAGTGATCCAATGGGGCTGCGATATTAGCTGCGATGTTTATCAATTTCCATAATTTTTCTGTAAACGCAAGTGACAAAAGAGCGTATAATACCGACATCCAAACTCTCATTTTAACCACAACTAAACATAATATCAAGGCTGTATATATCGAACTTTCAATCAAATTGACTGACATGCAGCCTCGCTCAACAGCGGCCTTGCTTCGTACACTCTATCATTTAGCCTCGATCTAAAATTTCCAGGAGTATGACGTCAACGTAACGGTTAATCTCCGCTTACGACGCCATTTAAAAAAAATTTAATCAATCAATGAAATCCTGTTTAAATCAAAGCCGAATCCAAGCTATCCGTGGGTCTACAGAGTTGATTTTGTGCTTGTTGTGTAAATAAAGATCTAATTTATAATTCCTATGACATCTGAAGCCTAAATAAAGACTTGCAATAAGCAGATTTAGCTCTTGCATAATGTATGTTTAAGTAACTGTTAACTAACGTTATTGTAGAATTGATGTTTTAATAAATACAGACATTTTGTATTTTAGTTAAAGAAAGAAGAGGAAAAAACAGAAAGCATGACATCTGATCAAATAAAATCATGTGATGAGCTCCCTAATCATGTTGTATGTACAATTTCCTCAGATATTTCGGCTGGAGAATTTGTAAAAGTTCTGAACAATCAATCTTCTGGGAATGAATTAGATTTGACTAATTCAGCATTGGAAACTGACAATGAAAATTTTTCCAGTGCTAATGTGGTAGATAGAGAAACAAGGAACGATAATTTTATATTAGGTGGATTACATGCTTGCGGTGATTTAACGCCTACTTTATTAAGAGTTTTTGCGTCTTGTGATAAAACAGTTGGATTAGCATCTGTTGGTTGTTGTTATATGAAACTCACAAGCAGGTATGATAATTTCAGTAGTATACATTAACCCCATGGATGCCCAACAAAGTACATACAATTAGAAGATGATATGACAAGGATATTAGAATTCTTTGTATACTGTTAATTGCATGGCAAATATTTCAGCACACAGTTGGTTCCAAATTGTGCCCCCAATGTTTTGATTTATTTCTGGTCAAATTATATTCAAGGTCTGTTTAACAAGATAGAAAAAAAAACTGCCTTAAAACATATATCAGTCACGTATAGCGATGACATCCTTGGTTAACTAACCTACCAATAGTGATTATACAATGTCCTGCTTGCAATTGGAATTGTTATTCATAATTGACACATACCAGAAATCAACATTAAAATATTGATAAATCAAATGATGTATCACAATCCCCAGCTTGCTCAGTTGATCCAATATGCCAGAGCTTGTATACTTTATGATGACTTCTTGACAAGGGGCTTGGTAACATCTAAATTATTCAGCACCTAAAGCAGGGTTAAAATTAAACAGTGAGATTTGTACGTGAGATGTCTCATGCTACAACCAATCAAAATGAAGGAAATTATAACATCCTTGAATAGATCAGCCATGATGCTAATGATGTTTTTCTCACAGGGCGCTTGATAAGTCTGTGAGACAAACCCTGTGGATGTCTGTGAGACAAATCTCATTCTAAAAGCCACTTAATACTACATGACTATTGGAATGTTTATATTTTTTTTAATTAGATCTGATAACAAGGCCAACATCAATCAAAGTAAAGAAGATGGCTATCCTATGAGTCAGTTTGTACAAAGTTTACCAGAACATCAACTAAGTTATGCAGCCAGGGAAATGGCTTGTCATTTTGCAGATTCTTATAAAGAAAGGTTGAAAGGTAATCTGATTTATTGGACTTGTAAACCTGTAACAGTAAATCTCTTTGATCTTTGGGGTATATTCTATGCCCGGAATAACTTGCGGTCTGAAAGTCGGTTGGCTGTTTTGGATATATTTGGGGTTATTCTTCTGAAAGTTTTTCTTTAAACCTGTAACGGGTTATTCTTACAGGGTAGGTTTTTTTTTCCATAAGAAAACATGATATACGGTTTTTCTTGCGGGAATTCTGGGATATTCTCACCTGCGTATATGTAAACATAGACGGTTTATAAGCAAGATAAAGTCCTCGACTTCGGTTATGCTGGGGAAGAAAGACTTCAGAAAAAACCCTTGACAGAAAAACCTCGGCCTACCGGCCTCGGTTTTTCTGTTTCTCGGGTTATTTTCTTCAGTCTTTCCTTCCCCAGCATAACCTCAGCCTCGTGCTTATCCTACACAGAGTAACTGTCATAATTCAATGTTCAAATGTTGTAGAAAATCATGAGATTTGGAATTGAAATTAATTAAAACATCCTACTTTCCTGTAGCAAGCGTGCTAATGAAGACAGGCATAATGTGTTCTGAGAGAGAAACTTTGCCCAGATAGCAGTACTACAACTTACCTTATGTTTATTTCAATTCACAACTTTCAGATGATCTTTAAGGTGGTATACACAGGACCTCAGTGTTTATGTACCATCAAAACAACAGGATGCTGGAAAGCAGGCATGGAAATTCAAAGAAACTATCTCAGTCAACACCTGGATTGAACCCAGAACCCCTGGTTAGTGAGCCAGCACTAAGCCACCCTGGCTCCAATATTTGGACTTTGAGAGTTCCTCATTAAATCAGAATAAAGATAGATGTTAAACCAATTATAGAGATGTATATTATAACTTCATACATTTTGAAACATTTTTACATTTTAGCCGATAGTGAACATCTGAAGGTACATTGTTACAGAGCAGCATTTCAACATATCATAACTATTTTACATCCAGAGTTTGACAGAGGTGCTATGAAACTCACCATCAAAAATGCTACAAACATGCCCTTTGAAAAGTAAGCTTTTTTTCATTTATGAGAAAATTCTGTGTTTGAAGTACAGATATGATGACTTGTAAATATTCTGTCAAATAATTATCGATGGTTGTTCAGGTTACTTTTCTACAATATTAATTAAGTTAGCTTTATAATATAATTTTCTTGAATTTATTCAAACATATACCATTCGGTGGCAAAACAGATTAATGAAATGGCCTTCAAAAGAGAGTGAGGCTGTTGATGATTTTTGATCCTGCATCTGAAATTGCGATTAGACTATCACTTAGATATAAAACTTGACAGATATCATCTGTGAATAAGAGAATGGTCAATTTCATCTGATATATGGACATATAGATGTACATGTATTACGATTTGACATTTTTTATTTAGGATCATTATTTATCTTGTTATACCCAGATGTTATATGTTTTTGTCAAATAACACACTATTTATGGATAACAATTACTATGGTTTATTTCACTGCGACGTTCCAACAAGATTTCACAAGAGGTTTTCAAGCATTTAACACAAAAAAAATATGTAACACAAATAAATATATGTTTTTGTGTTTGTTTTCAGCTATTGTAGTTCAGTTTTAAAAAAGCTTGGATATGATGATACTATCCCATCAGAATTAATGAAACAAGCCAAAGAATATTTATCTGAATGGAAAAATGTGATGTCTTTTTATACTGTACGTCTATCTCTAGGACCTGTTGTAGAAACTTTAATATTATTAGACCGACTGATATATCTTTATGAACAAGGTAAGTATTATTTTGAAAAATACCTTATTTCAAAATCTTTGTGTCGTGCACTTTTGTATGTGCCCACCATACTAGCTATAAAGTAAATTAAAATTTCCATCCATAACACTATCTTTATGCACTCACAAGACTTTTTGTATTTTTGCTAAAATATCAAATTTCTCACTAAATATGTACTCAGATTGATTATTTAACATTTAATTAAGATAAAAGAATCAAAATACCAACACTAGATAATCTTACATCTTGGATTCAATCAGATTTTACTAATAAAAGATGACTGTGTCTTGTAATGCTTGAGCAGCATAGATCAATGAAATTTCTATTGATTATAACTTTATAAATACTGTACAGAATTGAACCATGTTTGGTCCAATATTGCTATTCGAGATGAAACTTTCACAATATTGTAGTGAGCTATATGAGGCATCAGGCCTTTAAATGTAAGTCTGTGTCAGTAAGATTCCGGTGTCAGTTGAGCTCCCTTCCTTGTTCATGGTACTGGAATGAATCCACATAGTTGGGTATATACAAGATCATATTTGTCTAATTTCAGGTCTGTCAAGTGTACTGGTACCAATATTTGATCCAAGTTTATCTCCTAGAAACTTTCTTTTATTAGCTAATAAAAATAATAAGTCTTAATAAATACTGCTCCAGCCTTGTAATGGATTTGTTCTTGTATAGGGGGAGGGGGAGGGAGAGACAGAGAGAGAGATATTAATATCCACTAGATACAAACTAGGTCATTATGGGACTAACATATGGCTTAATTTATTCCAATAATTCACTAGCACCTAGGGGTCTTTAGCAGTGGAAGGAATCTTGAACATACTGGACAGTCAACTATGCCAATTGACTCAATGACAAATGAGCAAGAAAATGAAGTGGATTTAAATTCAAGCACTGTTTAGCAATTTGTGTGCATTAAAGGGAGATAATGTTTTAACACAACTTTTTGAAATCAGGTTTTACATGGCAAGTAAGAATGGGGCTTGAAAAATCCCAAAGGTTCATGTTAGCCCATGCCAGGATTCGAACCGGGGACAGTCTAGTTGATAGGCCAGTACCCTACCTCTCGACTACGGTACCATGGCAACAGGGCCCATCATAGTAAATTGTATTATGCACATAACATATTAAGCTTGACTGCCCAAATTTTTTCTCTTTTTTTTTAATAACAAAAATTAAAGAGAAGGTGATGTCACCTTCGAATTGGAATTCATTATTCTGTTTTGATTTCCCCAAAATTATGTTTTAACTTGACCCACAAAAAATATGAATAAAAACTGAAAATATGAATTGATTTATGACAATTTAATGCTAGTGTTTATGTTTACATGTGGTTCACAGATATTGTCTTAAATATTAAATAATACCAGTGATAAAATATTAAATATATACTCATAAAAAATAAATAACAAATATGCTTCAAATCATTAAACAAAAAACCTTATGGTTATAAAATAAAACAAACATGATATAATAATAATGACAAGACCCTTTTGTTGCAACATTAAACTACTTTATATATAGTTGAATAAACACACAATCTAAATTAATATCTAAGACCTTTTGGAGAGATATGATTGTCCATTAACTAAATATAAAGTGATCTGTTGTTGAAACAAAAATGCCTTATCTGTGTAATACTAACCCTAAATTTATTAATATCAACTATTCAAATTCCATTTAAAGTATAAAAATATTATGTATAAAATTATTACACACCACATGATATATATATATATATATATATACAAGAATAACATGTTACAATGGGTGGTATTTTGATATTTATTATGGTATTAGATTTTAAAAGTTACATGCTGATATTTAAATGACGTTTTGATATTTATTATGGTATTAGTTTTAAAAAGTTATATGCTGATATTAAAATGACTTTGCTTCTTAGGATTTGGGTGAAAACCAAAATGGTCGATATAGAATTTTATGTATTAATTTTATGTATGGCATGGCCAGTACTTTGTGTTCCACTGTCAACACAGTATGCCCAAATTTAAACTACATTTAATAAACAAACTTTGGAATCAAAGATTTAATCATATAGAACTTGCCTAATAATAACTAAACAAAATAACACATCATATGAACCAGCCGGTCGTAATCAATGTATTCTTAAAAAAATACTTTTTATTTGTTTCATATAAAATAAAACATTTCAAAATGATCCCTTTCCCTATATTAATTCTATAATAAATGATCATTTTTAGTTCACTTTCATCTATTCAATAAAACTAGAGAGTTAATTACAGAATTTATAATATACCAGTATTTATTATGTACATTCTTATTGTGCTAGAGAAAGTAAATTATTTGATAATAGGAAATATATTTTGATTATCAGCACACAGTATTACACAACAAATAAAGCACTAACATATGTGTTTCTATGGTATGGGTTGTTGATATCATGGTAATACATCTATGATGTGATTCTATGTTTTACAGAGATTGTTTCTCCAATGATCTACAGGTATGAAAATTAGTCAACTTAACTGGGGTTGTTTTGGGTTTTTTTAAGAACAGAATATACTTACTATAACTTTTTATTATCTTTTACAATATGTCAGATGGAAGAAATGGTGACATGTGCATTACATTGTTGGATATTAATTTAAAACTATCTTTTAGAAGAAGTTATTCGTAACCACAGTATTTGGGGTTAGGGCAACTTTTCATTGGGATATATAATAAACATGCACAAGAGTTACGGTTAGCTCCGTTTAGTTCAATAATTCTCATTCTATACAATGCCATCTCAATGCTTTAAAAGTATCGTAATTCAGTATTTATGTGGTAATCATTATTCATAAACACTGTGGTTATGCAAAACCTTGTCCTTATTTTTGGAATGGAAGTAATTATACACATAGATAAAAATGATTAATTAAAGTTTAAATGATGTTAAAGCATGACATAAAGGAAGACGAGTCATCAATGTGCTGTTAGTGAAACCTACAAAATACAAGATTATGTATTAGATTTCAATATATATCCTTTGATTATTCTTACAAATCACACAAGCTTATAATGATCTATATGCAGGCTAATATAAACAACATTCTTTTATGTTTTAATTTAAATCAAGTATTTACCTTATTAATTTATCATGTAAATGATTATTATACAAATATTACTAATAACACATCATAATATAATATGTCACTGAGACAAAATAAATATTTGATTTTGAGACGCACTAATATTTAAGAATATGATTTAGATTTTTTCTAGTATTTTATTCAGAGAAATTCTCATAAATTCATCAAGCACACTTTTGACGGAGTAAAACGAGTTAAGTACAATTCAACTGATGAAAGTTTTGCTAAAATTGCTTGTAAAACAAATGAATAAGTCATACAATGTATGTTAAATAAATGCTCTCTACCAATTCATTAACTTAAAATATATTTTACACCAATCATCTATTTATAATTCATGTACAATTCAGAAATCTGTGTACTTTAAGGTTTATAATCTATGTACAAAGTGGAATGATGAATTAAATTTGTATGGAATGTTATTATTTTTATTTATAAGCGTTTATATAGAATGTGTTTGATTATGCCAAGAAATAATACTCTTTTTTGAATATCAATAATTTGACCTGAATTTTGATTAGCCTCTGTTACCCACACGAAAAATATACACTTTTTATTTTTTTTCAACAAAATTTCCACCTTGGGCAAAAATTCAAGGGAGCTAAATTGAAAAACATGTGCCACCTTGAAAATCAACTCATAATTACTGATTGTCAGTTTGTCAATTTCCATCATGCTGAAATGAACTTTATATTTTTGAAGCCAGATCTGATGATGTATAATATTCCTAGGTTTAGGTATTTTTAGTCACATGGCGGAGAAATAATCCGAGGGCTCGAAGACCAGAGCTATAAATATATCAACTGTAGAAAACAAAAGTTGAAATGGTCTGGTTAATTGTGATTATAGAAGATCCAGAGCTAATATTTTCTACCAATCAGTTATCGGAACAAGAATGTAGACTAGGTCACAAATACTTTTTGTGTTGAAAGTACCCAGAAATTGGACATACATAGTGATGATCTGGGTGACAGAGGCTAATATATGATATGTATGAGGCAGTGCCTGATTATAATAGAAAAAACAAAGTTTTTAAAAATTCTTATGTACCAGTAATTGAAGGCTATAAAAATCTAAAACACTCAATAACTAGAATATGTTTATATAAGAAATAAAAAAAAGGCATCAGTTATAACAAATTTGATTAAAACAAATTTGATTAAAAAGAAGGGAGGCACAAGGGTTAAGTACAAATAGTTAAAGAAATGCATAAAAACTGTATTTAAAAAATTATTCTGTAACAACGTCATCTTAAAATCCAATGTCAACAAATTTGGCAAATATACTGGCATTTCATATTGATACATGGCACTACACACAATGTATCTTTATTTTAAAGTGGTAGTAGCCCCAGGAAGTAAATTTTAAAAAATTAACAATATTCTGTTCTAGTTTTATAGCTTATACATAACAAAATTCATTAAATTCTGACCAATATTCTTTTAGTCTTCTAAAGCTTAATATTATCTTTAAACGCACTGTTTAATATCTGAAAAAAAAATTGGGTATTATGTCTTGGTTATCCAGTAAACACCAGAATATAAACATTAGAGATTGGTCTATTAAAACTACAGTCTGAAGTTAAATCTTACATCATCTTCATTATATTATGGCCATAAAAAATGAACATTGTGTTGGGCTACTCCCACTTTAAAACATACCATACATGTATAAAATAATAAAAACAATAATAAAACCCTAAAAGTACACCTGGACATGGTTTTGTTTTTTTCAAAACATTTATGGTACACACTCAAACGTAAATGGGAAATATTAATGCTTTCGTGAAAACTGGAGAAAATAGTCTTTCCAAGTTTGAAAACGTGAATAGGTATTTAGGACCAAGTTTGACTTGCGTTTACCACTTTCTCAACAGTGGAGAAAAAAAAGTAAAACCATTTCTCATGTTTAATGAACTTGACCGTAATTACTGTCACGATTAATCAAAATGATAATCCATGCCTTATGAATACAGTCAATGCAAAGACAAATTTAACAATCACCGAATCCTATTTGATTCCATTTTTGAAACTAAGTCTGAATGCTCTCTAATAGTGGAAGACATATAAACCCCACATTCTCCAGCAGTCCTGTATTCAGTATAAATCTCAGTGGAATCCCACATGAACGATGGGATTCACAACCATTATATGTATGAAGCAACTGGTTTTCAATCTGTAGTGTAGATATCTTTGTTATCCAGTATAACTTTATATAATAAATCCCCTCATATACAATAAAAGTACAAAAAAAACTCCATTATGTATAATAAAAACAGAATCTTTGGAAAGACTGGGATATCAGTAAAAAAGAAACAGGATAATCCCAATTAAAAAAGGCAAATAAAATATTATAGACAGGCACTTGAATAAAACCATGTATAAATAACCATATAGACATATGTCTGATATAATGGAATGTTACAACTTTTGAATGATACAAATTTTGTGAGTTACTCTGGTTAACAGAATTGTTCCATGCTGCGTATTTCAATAATCTGATGTAAAGCTTGATGTACGTCTGGATCCATGTGACCCTGAAATAAAATATCATTATTGTGTTGGATATACGGCACTATATAAATGATCAATTATTATTAATTATAATTATTACGTTTAATTCTTACACAACAAGTAGGCTACATATGGTAAGATAAAATGTTACGGGTTAATTAAGTCCTTTATCTATAAATGTAATACAGGGAAAGTTTTGATAACAATGCACCTCCCTACCAAGTTGACCTACATCAGTTTATTTTACAAGGGCTATGCTAATTTCTAAATAGTGCAACAACTGAACTTTTTTCTAAATTTTTCACACAATTCAACAATTTGCTAAACTTTTCACACGATTCGCAAAACAATTTAACAATTTTGCCTAAACACTCTGCCATTTATTCCAACAATAAATTGAGGACTTTCTTCATACTCTCAAGTGCAAATCCACATGACCACAGTACTCCATAAAATAATTTAATATTAAATCAGTAGGCCTATGATATAATAATTACCTGAACAGCACTAACAAGATGTGTTCTATACATACTAATAACTTCATTGTGACATTTCTCACTGGCCTGAAAAAAACAAACATTTCTATCAATAAATATTATTTGACCCAGCACAGAATGGGCTATTCTGGTAGATATTGAATCTCCACCACATTCCAAGTCAACTTTCTCACCAAATTCCAATGATTGAGGGATTATCATTATACACCAGCAAGATCTGGACATATTTTTCTTGTCAACCCGATAGTTGAAATAACCAATCTCTTTCGAAGTAATAATATGGTACATCTTTATTTCATGGATCTTTAATCATGGGAGAAAACTAGAAAAAACTAAATGATTGATCAGGCCACCGTACAAACTTTCCTTCTAAGAAGTTATTGACTAAAATATTCTGAGGGATCATCTCTCTCATTGGGTGGTACATGTTTAATGTCTGTCATTGTTCTTTGAGGGATTTTAATCTCTAAAAGGAATATCAGTCCAAAGTGTGTCCTCGGTATCACCAGTTATATGGTTCCGTTCTACTCCACTATATCCTGGGTCCATTCATGGGGTTTTTACGAATTCAAATTATCTGCACTTGATTTTAGGTTGATTCTACAAACCAATCAAACCAGCGGCTGCCAGGCAGGATACGCCCACATTTTTGAGAGATGGATAGAGAACAAGCTAACAAGAAAGTGATTTTTCCTACTATCAAGGGCCATAATTCAGGAAATTACAATTCAATATGCGCGTTTATCGACAGGAACTGAGATCTTTGTGTTATAAACTTACATTTCAAGTTTCAACAAAATCGGATAAAAATTGTGACCTCTATAGGGTCCACAACCTTGATATACCATATTTTTACGCTATTTGAGAACGAACGGCGGCCATTTTGTCTGTCAATTTTGGGCCGATTTTCACGAAATTCAAACTTAACCTTCCTTAGGGTGTAACGGTGATATAATAATACGGTTTTTTAAATCAGATAAAAATTATGACCTCTATAGGTCCACAAGCTAAAAACGCAATTTTTCGTACAATCAGGGGCCATAATTCAGGAAGTTACGGTCCGATATGCGCGAATATCGAAAGGAACCAAGATCTTTGGGTTATAAACTTACATTTCAAGTTTCAAAAAAATCGGATAAAAATTGTGACCTCTATAGGGTCCACAAGCTAAAAATGTGATTTTTCGTACAATCAGGGGCCATAATCCATGAAGTTTCGATCCGATACATGCCAATATCGAAAGCAGCCGAGATCTTTTGGGGATAAACCTATATTTCAAGTTTCGTCAAAATCGGATAAGAATTGTGACCTGTAGAGAGTCCACAAACAATTGTGGACGGACGGGGGCGACGGCATAATACGTCCACATGAAAATGTGGGCGTATAAAAACAGTTTGCATACCAGTCTTGGCGTCATTGTTTATGTTCACCATAATAATCAAAGGTGGATAATTTGATTTTCCCCTGTGAATGGACCCAGGGTATAGTGGCGTAGAATGGAACGATACCACTGGGGAAAACAAGAATATCCAAAGTGGTTTAATTCCATTCAGTATACTATTTACAAAGATATGAATTAAAAATTTTGAAACATTGTCATTCTCTGAAGACAATGTAAACAAGTCAGCATGAGCTATAAGTTTCTCTAAAATCTTTTGATGGGCCTCTTTTAATATAAATAAATTCAAACCAGGAGTTTATCTAGTGTTTACACATGTATGTTTATTTGAGTATATTCTGTGGAGGCCACGTGTAGTGGGGATGAAAAAATTTTGAAATTAGCAGGCACCATATTTCAGTGTGGATTATGCTGTAAAAAAGGCAAATGACAGATCAGTGATTTTCAACTTAAACCAAAATTAATATTTTCTTTATTAACAGTACTTACATCTATTTTTTCCTTTAGAATACTAATCTGTGACTGTAATGATCTAATTTCTTTTTCACGTTCTTCATCAACATTATCAATATTATTATTTAACTTTTTGTGGAGGGATAACTCGGGCTGTATTTTTTTAATTACGAGAATTTCTTCTTCTAATAACGCGTTAGCTTTAGATAATTCATCTATTGTTAGTTCTAACTGGTCTTTCTCATATGTTAACATTTTATTTTCTTCAATCAATTCTTGTTGACCATCTGTAGCCGACGTTCTTTCTATTTTGATACTGGTGGTTTGAACCTCTAACAATTCCTGTTCTAACTTCTCTTTCTCTTTCAGGAGATCTGTATAATCCTGTTCTAACTGGTTATAATCCTGCTGCAATATCTCATGCTGTTGCATCATTCCTTCATACTCGTCCAAATCTTCAAACATCGCATCGCGTTGAGTTGATAACTGACTAATCTGTTCTTGCAAACTCTGGACTTCTTCAAGAACTATGTCGTGATCATGTTGAAGGGTTGAAGATCGTTCCTCTAAATCATCGTATTTTTGTTGTAGTTTGTCTCGCTCTTCCAACAATGTCGCCACCTCGCCAACCTTTCCGGCTAAACTAACAGCACTGATTTTCCTCTCCAAGTCTTCTTTCTCGCTTATCACAGTTTTGTATTTTTCTTGTAAGTGTTCGAGTTCGTACACAAGTTTTGTCAGATCATCGTGCATCTGATTACTATCTTGTAACAAGTAGGTATTTTCTTTCGTAAATTCCTCTCTATCATTCATGACCTTTTCGTATTCTTGTTGAATTTGTTCTTTCTCTTGTTGAAGCTGATCGAAGTCTTCTTGTAAATCATCACCTGCTTTTAAAATAGCGTCAAATGTGGTTCGTAATTTATTCAACTCTGTGCTCAAAATGGTCACTTGATCTTGTAGTTTCTCATTTTGATTTTCAAGTATTTCAATTCTGGCAGCATCTTCATCTTTTGTATCCGGAATTTTCTGTGATGCTGGCACAGGTTCCACATCTCCACTGTCATCCGATTCTGTTCTACTAGATGGTGCTGTTGATTTCAACATAATAATTTCTTGTTTTAAACTTGTTAATTCTCTCAGTAGTTCGTCTTGTTCACCTGATTCACTATTATAAGATACATTTTTACTGAGTACTTCTTTAAGATTACTGTTCTCATCGTAGAGAACTTTATTAGAATGTTTATACTCATCGAGTAAAGTCTGTAACCTATTCAAATCTTCCGAAGTTTGAGAATTGTCCATATCTACAGATGTAATGGATTTTAATCTACTTAATTCCTCTTTTAATTTCAAATTTTCCTGTTTAACAAGTTCATTGTTTTTGATAGAATCCTTTGATTCACTAACTGATTCCAAGTCCGATGTTGCTAATTTTTCTACTTGTACCCTATGTTTTATTTCTTGAAGTTGTAGTTCTAGTTCATTATTCTGACTAGCTAGTTCCTCGTACGTAATGGCACCATTTAATTTCTCCACTTCCGTAGCTTCCTTCAACTGAAATAAAAACAGACATGGTATAAATTATAGGGCACTGGGGTTTATGCACCAATAGTGTAAGGATACATGGAAAAGATGACCTACTATAGACCTTAAATATGTAGTTCTGGTGCAGGCCTTACAATGTGTGAAAAGTGCAGCTGCAAAGGACTTGCAACTTAGGAGCCACTGACAATTTTACAGAAAATTTCACATCAATGTTCTAACCAAATTTTGTAATTTCATGGAAATATATATATTGAGAGAGAAATGAGGTTTAACATCCACTCAAAACAAACTATGTCATTTTGGGGCTAACATATGGTACAATTTATTTCAATATTTCACTTGCTCATAGGTGTTTTTAGCTGTGGGAGCAAACCGGAGCACCCGGAGAATCCCAGGTAGGCACAAAACTCTACCGCTATGTACCATTCACGCTTGGGATCGAAAGCTAATAAGGAGGTAACAGATTTAACTACAAGCTTTAATCATTTAATGTTGTGTTTGAAAATAAAGATATTATAAAATATTTACCTGTAAAACTTGAGTTTGTAACTCTTGTTTTTCTGACTCTAACTGTTCAACTTTCTCATTTAATTCTTCTAAATCTTTTAAGGATACACCTGTAGCTATCTGATCTAATACAACTCTACCTCCTTCATTATAACCATTAGGTAAATTCTGGTAAAAAATATATTTACTTTATAACTATGAAATTAAAACAATATCTCAACCAACCCCAACAGCTGAAACATGTCTGTTGTGTTTGATTCTGTTATAATTGTAATTACACTACATCAATTATCAGAATCAACAGAAATGTGATTAGAAATTTGCCCCTGAATCAACAACCCATTTATTTAGTTTGCTTTTTAAACAATTAAGAAATATAAACCATAAACATTGCATAAATTTGTTTTATATCAGTGAATACATTTTTTTAAGGTTGTTTTTTTTTTAAACAATTCAAAAACATAAAGAAAATTATTTTTATAAAGAATAACAAAAACTGTTCTCTAAAAATAAGTTTTTGAATTCAATAAATAGAAATAGCATACACTATTCTGCCCTGTAATTACCTGTAATCTTTCTTTTAATTGGTCGTTCTCCTGATTTAAAGTTAGAATTTGACTGCGTAATAAAACCACCATCTTTTTACTATCTTCATTTGCACTATCTCCTAAAAAAATATTAAAGAATAATAATTTGCTAATAATGAAAAGAACATAGGAATGTATCAAGCTGTTAGCTACATGAATACACCACAGTAATGAGACAATTAGTATAGTGTATTCTACAAATAACACATCCTGCCACTTGTAGAATACCAGTCAGAGTTTGTAACAACCAAGACAACCATATCTACGGACTGACATAACTATGTCATACAAGTTAAAACATTGTAGGATCATATCTGTTCAGATAAAAAAAACAGTTTTATCATGTACACCAAAAAATATTGATTTTACCTACAACAGCAAGCTTGGAATTATGGCACCTGCCACAGACACTGTCAGGCATCAATTCAAACTTACAGGTGCCTGTCATTTTGTTGAGTACTAATTTGTCTTTTTTCAGTGTTTTTTATTGATATCTCCAATACAAAATTCAAAATATCAGGTACCATACTATTTTATAAGTTCCTGACATTTTTTCAGATACAACATGGGCTGCTACAGTAAGAGTGTTTTGAACTATTTTGAACGAATTCTATATGTTGTGTTTATATTATGGTTTACCTGATTCATCATCACTTTCTTGCCAACCATCTTCTCCTAGTTTCTTTATTACTGGTGGTGTTTTCTACAAATACAAATATCACACGCATCATGATTAATGAATTCTGATCTTAGTTTCTTTATTACGGTTGGGGGTGGGGGGTCTACATGTATTATGATTAATGAAGTTCAATCTTAGTTTCTTTATTACTAGTGGGGTTTTCTACTACAAATATCACATGTATTATGATTAATGAATTCTGAGTTGGATCTAAAACACAATTAAATAATAAATCTATACAAAATTAATACCTTATTTTCTTCTATGAACTGTGATAATTCTTGATTCTTCTCTTTTTCCTCCTCTAATAATTTTTTTAAATTGTTTATCTGAAACAGAAGATTTATTATACAGTAAATTAATATTGTATATATGTTTGAATATATATTGTAAGACAAGAAATGATATTAATGTCATGAAATCGGTGTGTAAGAAAGAAACCATTCACCAGATATACAGGTCTCTTGCTAACACCATAAAGAACGAGACCAAACAGGCACCAAAGAGAGATAAAGAGTTTTTGAATATGTCTGAAGGAACTATATTTGGTTTCGGAATATTTTAGGGATTTCCTTACATTGTACTATCAGAATGACTTACTGTCTGAAAAAAAAGAGAGAAGAGACAGTGTTTAACGTCCACTCGAAACAAACTGTTTCATTTTGGGGCTAACATATGGTTCAATTTTATTTCAATAATTGTGCGTGGGGGTGGGGGGAGGTGTGAGAGGAAGCCGGAGGACCCGGAAAAAACTGAGGTTGGGCATGCAATCCAACTCTTTGTCACATACAAATGTTGGTCTCAAAACCATGCCACTTGACTCAATGACAGGGCTTATGATCTAAAGTGCATGTGTTAACCATTCAACAACCCTTTTGTCTTAAAGGGCCTGTATCTAAATAGTGTAGCTGCCATGCAAAAAACAAATCTACTGTTTTGAATGTTTATGACTTTTTATTCACAGTAGTCTGTAGATGCTTTATATCTTATTTTGTATTTCTGTATCATACCTCTTTTGTAACTGTTTCTGGTATCTGAGTCTCACCTTTACCCTGTTAACAAATAGTTCAATGTAGTGCAAAAAAATAAAATAAATGATGCAAAAACAGTGAAGTTAATAAATAAATAATAAAAAAAATTGTGCAAAACAATAATTTCAAAATCTGTGACAATATTTAATCAAGAAAATAATTTTATTTGAACAACTTCATATTCAAAAAGAATCTCAAGACTCCTCTAATTATTGAAATTACTTACAGGATGGAATATATTACATAACTGACAACTTAGAAATGATCTGATACACTTACATATCTAATTTGAACATACTCAATTAATGTGTAACAAAATCAAGTTAAACTGTGAAAAAGAATTTTATCAACTGGCCAACTCCTCCAAAGTGCTAATGTTTAATTTACCTACTAAATTTGTTAAATTTATGCATAAAATTTTTATGGTGATCATAAATCAATGTCAACACTACAAACAAAAAAATAAAATCACCAGAAAACAAACCTGTTCTTTTTCTTTCTTAAATCGTTGTTCTGAAGCCTCTAATTTATCACGTAATTTTAGATTATCAATAGATAGTTTATGATATTCCTCATTCAACTGATCGTGTTCTTCTTGTAACTCCTTAAAAAAAAATTATGAAATATATAAAAAATTCATCAACATCTCAAAGTAAATAGTTTGAATATTTTAACTTTGATCTGAACTCAAGTACTGGTTTACCCCAAAGACTAGTCAAACTTGTTTAATATCTAAAAATGTAATAAACAAGTTACAGATCCAACTAGTCATGTCAATAAGGTACATGTAATTAATTTGTTAAAAGTCTTTAAATTTTTACTAATTTACTATTACATGTTGGGGAGAATTTTCAAAGAACCATATCTTTTTCATTTCGTCCAGTAACCAGACACATATTCTTGCTATCCATCCAATGGTGTCAAGGCAAAAAAAAAAACCAAGAACTTTTAGGTAAAAGTCATCCAATAAATAATGTCTTTGGTTTTCTTGAAATTGTATGTAATACAAATTTTTCATATTTTTAGAAAGATTTTATGGAGAATTCTTCTCACCTTTAACTTCTTGCTATTACTGCCATCAGAAGAATCAGGTGATACACTTAATAAATTAGGAGCTGATGCTGTTCTCTTTAAATCTTCAGTCTGAAAATAATTCATAGACAGACTAATGAATTTTTTCAAAATAATAAATTGATTGTCAATGTCAAAATGTCAATGATTTCTATGTCAATGTTAATGAATAAAGCAGATATACACTTTGTATGAACTAGATGTAATGGACGTCATGAAACTCTACAAGACTTAACAAAGAATTATCACAATTTGCTATCATTATGATATGGACAGGGGTTATTTCTACCACCCATTAAATAGGGAGATTTACACAACATTTACTAATATTTTTCGTCGTGTTGCAATCAGGTGTATTTGTTTTGTATTTCAGAGGATGTGTCATTCAGATTTCATTTGCCACATTAAAAAAGCAAGTCATCTAGTATCGAATTCAGATGAGAGACTGTGATATTTATAAAAAGGCTTATCAAAATACATTATAAATAATATTATTGTGTTTCAAACAATGTGACAACAGCTCCAATTTAACCAACAAAAATTATTTGTATAAAATTTTCAAAAAGCAACACGTAAAATTTGAATAAATTCATTTTCTTAATCTAATATGTAAAAGTCACCCCACCCCCTGATTATATACCTACCAAATCATCATGAATATCATGATCAATCTGCTCTTCCACACGGTTTGATGCTGGTGATTCTTGAAATCTAGATACCATATCAGTCTGAATGAAACAAATTAAACTCTAGTTACATGTATGCAGATCATTTCAGTTTTATATGTTTATTGTCCTTCATAGATTGTTTTAATAAGCTCAAATAGGGTGAACATCTTGTCATTTTGACATTAACACATGGTAAACTTCATTTCTATGATTACATATATGATTGCAATATAAAGGAAACCTTTTACTTTTTCCACCTACATGTATTCTTTAAATTTCAACTACAAAGGGTTATTTTACATGCACACCATCCAAACAAATATGCACAGATTCCTCGTCAGCCTGCCAGGTCAGGGAATAAGTTAAGGCGACAACATGACACACTTGGCATAATGAGTATAGAGTTTTCACGCCCCTTTCCAGCAGACAAAATTGTGTGGTGTCAAACATTATTGTGGTTCAGATAAGCTAAAATAGACTTATGCAAATTCCACACAGCGCAAAACTTCTCATGCCAGGGGTAGAAAACAATATGATGTTTCAGAAGCAAAATCAGCTATCACCACACCCCTGCTGCATGTACTACCTCAACAACACAAAATGATACAAATAATATGATACTTTTGATGGTAATTTGTACAGCGTACAGATATTTATATTTTGTTACCTGTGTAAGAGTTTTACTTGTATCAAATTGGTTATTAACAAGTTGTGCTTTCTTTAATTCTGTTGAATCGGGATATTTCACTTCTGTAAATAAAATGGATAAATCAATAATTTGTTGTATGATTTGGAATGACATCACTACATTTGTCAGGGTGATTGTGAACTTTGAGAATGTGAACGTGTTGTAAACATGACCTCTGAATATTGTGAACATTTTATAGGAACTTTCAAATGTGTGACCGGTGAACTACTGTCAATGCTGATTTTCATCCATAAGTCAAGACTTTGGTCATTTTTCAATAGATAGTGATAGCAAATGAATAGGAGTGAAAAGTTGATGCCCGCAAAACATACTGTAGCGTAGAAACACAGCATGTTTAGAATTGGTTTGAAAGCATAAATGTGTGTAATATGTTGCCTGCCTCCATATAGGGGTTTTTAACGAGTAGATGTATAGAGAAACTATTAATATATTGAAAATATTAACCACTCATAACTTTGGCTCTTGTTTATGGTCTAAGACTGATTCTTCTACCTCTTAGAAATCAATTCTTTTTATTTAAAATGTTAATATTTACCTCTTTCATTATACGTAGGTATCGGTACATCCCATGATGCTCTGGTTGGTGCATTATCAAATACTTCTCTTATTTCAGCATGTCCTGACATAACAGCATACCCCAGGGCTGTTTTACCTACATTAGAAAGTATATTCTTAAAAGTACAGATTTACTGTTAACAATATTTTACATACGTGCAGAATATGAATCGAAAGCACAAAACATTCCCCCCATTTGGTTAACAACATAAATAATCTTTCTGTCTCTTTCCCGTTTTCACCCTTTATATGGTTATTTATTTTTCATTTTAAGGTCTCAAATTAAGGAAAAGGGTTTGAATTACACCTTCTACTAAGTTTTGGTGAATACTCATAATTTCGAGGTTGAAGGTGAAGTGAGTTAGGAGTTTAAGAAAACAATTATCTGCCACTTTTGCACCAAGAATAAACATTCTACAACTCCATAGTAATAATGCCGAACATGACAAAAGACTTCTTTACAATCTTGTACTTTGAAAATTGGTTGTGACATTCAAAATGGAGTCATGACAGGGGAGAGAAAGAGAGATAAATGGGGTTTAACGTCCACTCGACACAAACTAGGTCATTTTGGGACTGACACATGGTTCAATTTTATTTCAATAATTCGCTTGCAGATAAGTTGCCCAAACAGTCCATAAAGACTGTCTGATTTTTATTCGTGTGTGCGTAATGGGATCATTTACAACACTACAAACTTATCAAGGGCAAAACTCATTAACTATTCATCATAAATAATCAATATTTTATAATCTTTTAGTTCTTCCTAGTGCTAGCATAAACATAACATGTACCAGTAATCAGATGTTGATGTTGAAAATGAGTAGGCTTTTTCTGTGTCTGAACATAAACACTGGTTTAAAAAACCCAAACATGCTATATGGGAGTAAATGTATACAAATGGAGTTACATCCCTTTTACTATTCAGTTACCATATTTTATTATTACAGAGAACAAAAGATCACCCTCTCAAAATGGGGTTGGAAAAAGAAAAGTTTCCTTAAAGGGTCATTAGGTAAGATTAGATAAAGAGCTAACAGTTCTCACTATAATAGTTAAAAAATAGATAATGGAAAGGGAATATGTTGAAAATTTCAGTCAAATTACTTCGCTCTGAGACTAGTTTTCATAGATACATTTATAATTTATATAACATTTAAGGCCTAAATAAAGATTATGCTAAGTTAATTAATATCTAAGTAATAATTTATACAACTTTTAAGGCCCAAAGAAAGACCTGCTATTGGCAGATTTAGCTCTTGCATAATGCTTTTAAGGGGAGGTGTTCGCCAAAGACAACACCCACTCTTGGATAATTAAGCATAGGACATTTTGGGAGAAACTTTTTGTCAAGTAATTATTGGGTATTTTTAAAATATACTTTTATTTTCCTAAAATACAAGACTGTAATGATACACACAAAATATTATACTTGAAGTGACAAGAAATATTAAATGATATTTGATATACTGAATGCCTAGAAGTGGAGGTAATGTCTTTTTTTTTTAGATCACTCCAGTTTGTCACTGAACCAGGACAGTGGTATTGTATCAAGGGGGTTCTGTATTTCTCATGGGGATGCTTCATAAACATGAAGACTTACAGGCATACCCTCTTACAATGACAGACACAAAATAATCTGTTCATATTTTGTCAATTAAAAAGGTATGACAGAATAGAATAATTACCTTCTCTATCCATACTTTGTGGATTGGCACCTTTTCTTAACAAGAATTCACAAATTTCTCTATGACCTTCTTTAGCTGCTATCATTAGAGGTGTACTGTAAAAAAAATAAAATAAAAAATGAAAATTGTACTGGTACATTAAAACTAATGAGCTGTAGACTCGATGCCTCTGGGCTCATAACTCTGGATATATGTATCAAGCCAATGATAGCTCTTTGTTTGCTGGCACTGCGAAACGGAAGCATGAATTCATAAACAAATCAATCAGAAATCCTTAATCTGACAGTGACAACATAATAAGAATTTTCCCAAACCTGACGACAGGAATGTTATATTTATTAATTATTGTAGTTATGTCATCAGACAGGCAGTTGCATTAGATGACTATTACGAACAAAAACATGTTTCTGAATGGAGCCACATTATCAGTAGGAATAACCAATACCATGTGTAAGATTGGTTAATGCCATTATTACAACAGAAGTGTAAGTGTTAACCTCAACAAGCAGGAAACAAACTTCTACAGTCCTTCACTTTTAAGGGGAGCTTTCGCTCCTGCTCCTCTCGACGCACGTCAGCTTTCCTTCGAAGGAGTCATTAAAGACTCCTGCAAATTAGCTAAATCGCTCTCCTAAATATTGAGATTAATAAACTACTTTCAGTTTTTGTTTACTTTTAAACTGCATATATTCAAGGTATCAGGAGCTTTTTATGGCTCCCGCACAATTTTATAAACACGAAGGACTGCTTCTAAAATTCTTCTAGACCCACACTAGGATTCAAACCTGTAGGTTGTAACTACTTTATATTGTTAATATTTTATTATGTCTTATCTTTTATTTATACAGAAAAGTCTTCCATCATTATATACTTACACCTGATAAATATCTTGTGTATTTACATCTGAACCTTTATCTACCAACCATTTACAGATTGCAATATCACCTCTGTGGGCAGCATAGAACAAAGATGTCTTACCCGTCTGAAACAGAAAAGAAATTAGATTTTCATTCAGTTTCATATGCATGCAATCTTATTACAACCAGGCTTAATCGTAGAAAGGACATTGAAACATTGATAAATATTATGAGCACAATATTTGTGGAGTTTTGGCGCTATAGAAATTGACCTTTATTATACTAACATAATATTAGTGTTCTCTTCCATTTAAAAACAAATATGCATGTTCATTAAGATGGTTTGTAATTCTATCCCCCACCCTCCATGAGATCACATATGTGACAATGACTGACACCAATATTGTCCTTTAAATAAAAATTCTTCCCAAGACGGTGAACAACTATATAGGCAATATAATCTATGTTCTACCAGGGTGTTCAACGTTATTTTATTCAATATTTTGTTGACATTCATTGTGGGATGGGGTAGATTTGCCACGCCCCCTATTCACAGCTTCTAGATCCAATACTATCTGTCTTTATCTCATATGATTACATATTTGATATCTTTTTCTCTAATTTATCTGGGCTAAATTAATCAAGGTGTCAGTTCTCATTCCATCCAATATCCTGTATAAACACAGATTGTAATAACTACAATATAATCTTCTTGGCAAGTATTAATATTCTCTACACTTAAAGTATCCAGATCACTATTGTCATCAGCAATATTCAACTATTGTCAGAAATATTGGTCTCACCTTCTCTGTTGATCTTGGACTGGCATTTCCGCTTAATAAAGCTTGAACACACTCCAAATGTAATCCAGCACAGGCATGATGTAATGCTGTCATATTATTACTATCCTTCATATCTACATCAGCATTAGCCTGGTATAATCAAATAAAAATATCTAAATTGATGTTTTATGAACGAGGGTAGGTATTAAGGGTGAAAATTTTTTAAGAATATAGTTAGTATAATGTTCTTATAAGCATAATTTTGCTCACTATAACAGCTGAGGAAATATCTCACTATTCTGCAAATAGTCGAACTAAAATATTGATCACAGATAATCATTAAAATCAAAAATGATTTCAAAAGCTACAGGATTTGAAGGAGGGAATAGTGGGTTGTATCATATAAAAAGTGAATCTAAACAAAGGTTTTGAATAACAAAGATTTTCAAATACATTGCGTTATTAGATCTACCAACCACAAATATTCCTACAACTACATCATACATGTCTTCTTTCAACATAGGTTATAATAGTTTTATATCATAAGTATATTATAGATATTTTCTTTCAACATGAGATAACGTCTAATCCTTCTTCACTTTGGTAAAGTAATGATAAAATCTTTAATTTCCAAGAAAGATCTAACAGGTATAAAGTTCGTTCAATTAATAAATAGTTGATAATATGGTTGTATATCTATCTACCTGCAGTAACTTTTGTACAATTCCTGTATGACCTTTAGCAGCTGCCAATTGTAAAGCTGTATTACCTACAAAATGTAACACCTAATTAACAAAAATATACCATCTTTGATGTTGAGATCTTATGGATAATAATAATACATGTATTCTGTACTATGATAACAGTTATGATAAAAGACTTCATACTTTTAACTTTCATTTAGTATTATATTAAAGCGTCACCTGGAATTCCAAATCAAGATATTATTTTGTTCAAATGTCTTTGACAACGACATGCAGTGAGCTGAATCCCCTTTTTAAACACGGAAAAGTTGTTTGAAATAATAGGATTTATGTGCAATGATTGAACATCACTTTATTTGGATTATTTTAAGATTAATAAGCCGACAGGAAGCACAGAGGATTCATAGTCAACAATTCATACAAAAACTTGTTTTCAACAGCCATAATAAGGCCCATTGGTTTTCGTTAAAAAATTTGAAGGTGCTAGAATTATTAAATTTTGATATCTTGACGTATGGTTTTTAACTTTTGAAAATTCATAATATTCACGGATGAAAATAAATTTATCAAGCAAGTAATTTAGAGCTATGTAAAGAATGCAACAGATACCTCTTAAGTGTCTTAAACATGATTTATAGCTTTTAAAATATTTCAAGCATCTAATAACATTATTAAATATGCTTTTTTTCACAGACATATAACAACACAAATTTTGGGAGCTTCATATTCTAATGACCGTTTTAAAGTGGGGCTCGTGTTCACAAAAATAAAGTACTTATAAAGGCTTTGTACACCTCAATTTTATTTCTAACATAGGTATCATACAATTCACGAACATAAACTCAGCAACTTTAATTTTTCTGTTTTACGACTGTATACAGTTTCATCAATTGTAAAAATCATGTATCTAAATTTAGGTAGAGAACACACCCATTATATTATGTGTTCTAAAATGACAACAAAAAAATTGAAGTTAAAAATTAACTCAAAAGCCAACAATTTACACAGTGTCCATAAATAAAGTCTGTTTGTATTATGTAATTAAGTACATCATAGTATTAAAGAATGGACTGGCTTGTGTATAAAAGATATACTTATCATTATTTAATGTGCATAAAAGATATAATTGTCATTATTTAATGTGCATAAAAGATATAATTATCATTATTTAATGTGTATAATGTGCATAAAAGATATGATCATCATTATTTTTCAATGTGCATAAAAGATATAATTATCATTATTTAAAGATAGTGGTGCGATGTAGACATAAACCAACTTTAAATGCCTAAATCAGAATCTGAATAAGTTTTAACCAAAGTGATTTTTAACCTTTATTCTCGCAAATTGGGGCTTTTGAAAGAAATTGAGACATTTTTGGTAAAAATCTAATCAAGCGTCCAATTAATTCTAACAGGTGTAAAATAAATCAATATGTATTTTTGAACATTCGAAAAAGTAAAATAGAAATAATTTATAAGAAAATTGTGGAATTTAAGAGGTTGATTTAAACAGATAGCATTCACAAATACATAAAGATTGTTATATCATTACTTATATCAGATTATTATTACCTTGAATTGTAAGGTCATTGACATCATCAGTGTAGTGTAGTAATGCATCTACTATATTCTCATTACCTGAAGCACATGCTATCTGAAATCTATAGTAAATTAATATATATATAGTTAGATATAGTAACATCTACAATTTGTTGACCAAAATCCAATTTCATGAAGTTATGCACACAAAAGTCCAATAAGTTGTACAGCAAAATTTCTTGTTGAACGTGAGCAAGATCCCAATTAGGAAGTTATGGTCCGATATCGAAAGGGACTGAGATACTTGGGATATAAAGATATATTTTAAATTTCATCAAAATCGGATAAAAATTGTGACTTTTAGAGAGTCAAAAACCCTGGTATTACATACTTTTACACTATTTGTGTACAAGGAGCAGCCATTTTGTCAGGCAGTTTCGTTCCAATTTTCACAAAATTCGAACTCAACCGTCATTAGGGTGTAACGGTGATACATTTAAATGTTTTTTTTTTTAAAAATCGGATAAAAATTATGACCTCTAGATAGTCCACAAGCTAAAAACGTGATTTTTCATACAATCAGGAGCCATAATCCAGGAAGTTATGGTATAATATGCGCATATACCGAAAGGAACCAAGATCTGTGGATTATAATCATACATTTTGAGATTCATCAAAATTGGATAAAAATTGTGACTTGTAGAGTGTACGTAAAAGGAGCAGCCATTTTATCAACCTTTATTGATATGTAATGGTGATATATTTAAAACGTTTTTTTAAAATTGAATACAAATTGTGACTTCTAGCGGGTCCACAAGCTAAAAATGCAATTTTTGGAACAATCAGGGGCCATAATCCAGGAAGTTAAGTTCAGATATGTACGATTATCGAAAGGAACCTAGATTTTTGTGATATAAACATAAATTTAAAGTTGCATTAAAATCAGATCAAAATTGTGGCCTCTAGAGGGTACACAACCTTGATATACCATATATTTACACAACATGTATTTGCGTACAAGGGGCAGCCATTTTGTCTGGCAGTTTTGGTCTGATTTTCACGAAAAATTTGAATTCAACCATCATTAGGGTGTAACAGTGATATATTCAAACTTTTTTTTAAATCGGATAAAAATTGTGACCTCTCGAGGGATAACAAGCTAAAAATGTGACTTTTAGAACAATCCAGGGCCATAATCTATGAAGTTATGGTCCAATACACGCCAATATTGAAAAGAACTTAGATTTTTGGGAGATAGACCTATATTTCAAGTTTCGTCAAAATCAGATAAAAATTGTGACCTGTAGAGGGTCCACAAACAAATTGTGGACGGACGGCCGCACAGACAGACAGCATAATGACTAATATCTATGCCAAACGAGCCAACAGTGAGGTTGGTGTTCCACTGCCACTTTCAATCAATTGGCATTAAAGTTATCATGTCTCGAAACATCGACACAGATCATGATCATTATTGAACTTAGCCAAGGGACTGATGTAATGAAACTATAGGAAATGCGCATTTTCGAACTATATCAAGTTATTGATGTAATGATATATGCCAAATTTCACCATTCCCACTTGATTAGAATCAAAGTTGTCAAGCTCCAAAATCTATATATTGAAACTATACACCAAGTTTGACCACTCTGACTTAATTAGAAGCAAACTTATTGTGTCCCGAAGCATCAACCAATCAAATTACGTATCTCTGCTCAGCCTAAGCAGAAAATGCTCATCATCTAACTCAGTCAAGGTATTCACCAAATAAACACTTACACCAGGTTTAACAAGCCAACAGCAATACTGATGACCCTCGCGGAAATCCCAAACTAAATAGATAACACATATTAATTAATTGCACATTTATCTTTTTCAAATGTATCGAGCCATCAAACTGATTATCTATACTTGGTCTAAGCATAAAATGTTCATGATCAAACTCAAGGTTTTGAAGTACTTGATAGTGAAACTATACACTAAGTTTCATCACTCCCCATCACAGCCAGAAATGCTCATTATTGAACTTAGTCAAGGTATTGATGTGATTAAACTATACACCAAGTTTCACAACTCTCACTCTCAGTTATCGTGTCCCAAAGCATCAACCAAACGAATTGCTTATCTCTGCTTACCCTAAGCAGAAAATGCTCACACCAAGTTTGAATATCACAGCCAGAAATGCTCATTATCGAACTTAGTCAAGGTAATGATGAGATTAAACTATACACCAAGTTTCACCACTCTCACTTAATTAGAACCAAAGTCATCAACCAATCTAATTGCTTATCTCTGCTTACCTTAAGCAGAAAATGCTCATCTTTCGAAGGCATTCACTTAATGAATGCCTACACCAAGTTTGAACATATTCCTCAATTAGAAGGAGAGTTATTGTGTTCCTAAGTCTTGACCAATCAAATTGCTTGTCGCTCTGCTTATCTTGAGCAAAAAAATGTTCATTATCGAGCTTAGTCTAGGTATTGAGGTAATGAAACTTAATTAGAACTAAATTTATCGTGTCCCAAAATATCAACCAATCAAATTGCTTATCTCTGCATAAGCAGAAAATGAACCCTACACCAAATTTGAACATTTTACCCCGCTCTGCTTACCCTGAACAAAAAATGCTCATTATCAAACTTAGTCATATACTATAGTATAAGATGAGAGAGAGGGACATCAAGAATATAAAGTTATTGTAACCAAAACCTCTAGATCTGAGACAACAACAATAAAGAACCAAATACAAAATTTGCCCAACATTTTTATTTTTTCACATTCTTGAGGCAAATAACAGAATAGAGCAACCTCCTTTAAAAGAGAGAAGTATTGTGTTAAAAATAATGGTTGAGTCTATTCAAGAAATCTAATTATACATGGACCTATTGTCTCTTTGTACAAAGATTTGTTTTTCTTTCTGTGGAATATTTGTCATTTAAATTAGAACATGTTTTATTACTACTCTCTAAGAAACCCACAATAACCTGGTTTACCATGACATAAAATGAATTACCACCCCTTCCTTTATAGCAATTATAAACACCAAGACAATTCGTACAAATAAGGAAATAAAAGGTATATAATTGTTTTGTTAATTAAAGGAAAAGACATTGAATTCAGGAAGTTCAAGTAATTAGAATTGTTTCTTTTGTATAATTTATACTGAGGTAAACAATGTAAAACAGAACAAATATAAACTTAAAAATGCTTACGAATGTTAAAAGAAATTCTCAGAGGCGAATGAAATATTTCCTTGTACATTATAAACATTTTTTACATTGCAAAAATATCATTTATAGCCATGCTGTAATATCTCGGCTTTTTAGTTTATTTTTTTATAAGTTGTTGAAAACCAGACAATTGTGTCATGTAACAATACAGATTCATCAATTCCTGTTCAAAACACTCCAGTCACTACAAGCTCATTGAAAATCTTAAACGTTCATTAAGGTCCAGTTGATACTCTGCTAGTTTTGAGAAAATTGCTGGCTATGACCATTTTTACATGGGCGTATAAAAATGACCTATGGAATTTACTATTCAGGGTATATTTTAGGATTTTCCAACAACTTGCATCTCAGAAAAACCTTACCACACATGAACAACATTAATAAACTCTATGTCAATGTGACATTCCGTAGCCAATGACCTTTCACATTTAATAATAATAGAATTATATACAATTTAATTTCACATAAACTTATGACATTGTCAACATTTCAAAAGGTTCTCATAAACATTTTTAAAAATCTATCTTGTAACAGTATGTGTTTTAAAATGCTCTTAACAAATATGTATCTTTGATTTGAATATGATGTCTTTAAGAAATCGTTTTTAAATACACACATTGGCACTTGCAGTGGTGGATCCAAGCGGAGGACCCCTATCATTCTGTTTCACTGCAGCATTTAAATTATAAATTTTTGTTGGTTAGTGTGATACTGTAGATTAAAGAAGTTGCAGATGATGAAGTTAAATGCTTAATTCAGGTCCAAATATACACCCTGACTATTCAAGAAACATCTGTGTCCTCCACACTTTATATCCCTGGTATTTTTGTTGCCCTATACTGATTTGACGAGATTTATAAACCCCATTCCATTGAAATTTTGAGCCCAATACTCATACTCAGATCTGTCCAACAATGACATTACCTGACACACTATATTTAAATAACAAACAGGCAATAAGATACCCTTCTTCCAAGGTCTTATATTCAAAGAAAATTTTCTGGTTGAAATATTAAAAAGCTGCATCATGCTTCAGGTAAGTCATCGGTGGATAATCACCACGCTTGTAATCAATTAGAATAAGGAGGACACCATCAAAAGATTTCAGCAAAACTCATAGGTGACACTGGCTTTTGTTGACAACATTCTATATGTCTTTCAAAGTGGATGCCAAATTTCAACTCAGCATAACTTTGTAAATACTGAATGGAAATGAACTATTTTTGGACTGATATTCCTTTTAGAAATTCAACTTTCACAATATTGTACTTCGCAAGTGATTAACAGTGCCTCAAATGATGATCAGGGACTTTAATTCTTAATTCAAGAAATAACAATTCTATGCCATAAATTTGTAGCTCCCTTGCTTATATCAAGAAAGTCTTCGGAAGAAAAATGGAACTGACCCTACTACTATTCTCTCATTTTATATTAAAATGGGTTAGGTTTAGTCATTAGCCAAATTTTGATGACAGATTCTATTTTAGTATAGTAAAACCCGCTCTTGGAAAGTAAATATCAATTTACTAATGACAATTTCCCCTTTAATACATTCATGGCTTTTAGTTATCCTATAAAAATTTCTCTGCCACAGTAAGAGTTTCCTACCATTAAAACCTGCCACAAATACATGTATTGATAGCACAATCTATTTGAAGAAATAATTAACTTAAAAATGTTCTAAAAATTATCTTTCACTCATTAATCAATTTTTATTCATATTAACTTCAAATAGTTAGAGCACTAAAGATGAAATTTAATTTAGACTTTGTGGTACATTCAAGGTGAATTTTAAAATAGAATCAAGTTACACCCCGTCTTCATATCATTTATACAAATTTAATATGTCTATTTATAACTACAAGAATGCTAAGATATGTTATTACTAATTGAGCAGCTGTATAACAATTTATTAATTTATAATGCGAATTAATGTTCTACAAATTGTTGATCTAAAGGTATGATTAGTACTGTTACAATACATGGCCAAAAATTAATTGACTCTTGAAAGGAATATATCTTATAGCCCGTTCACATGCTTAAGTTGAACTGGAATCGTTAAACCAGTTTAACTTAAGCGTCTGAACGCTAATGTGGGGCAAATAAACCAGTTTAAAAACCCCAGCTTGCGACCTGTCTTTGAGAAGGCTTTTTATTTTAAACTGGTTCATCTTAGTTAGTTAGAGGTCAGAATAGTTAGTTAAACTGGTTTGGTTTATAGTACTTGTGAACGCAACCCCAGCGATTATGAATTGTTTTAAAATAAGTGTCTGAACGGGCTATTAGATTGCATCTAAACTGGATCTTTCAAATAAACGAGAAATTCAACAAGCTAAGGTCCTCACCTAAATCACAAACTAAATTATATAAGAGTTAAATCTGCCTATTGTAGACTTCCGGCTTCAAATATTATAGAAATTATTATTAAAACATTTATTCACATAATGAACTCTCTAGCTCATTGGATGGGTGAGATATTAAGTGAATTAAACAACATCTGCCATATCTTCAGACTATTTACCATATTTCTTGCCAAAACTCCAAACAATTATAATTTCACTTAGAATAAAGTAATTTGACTGAAATTTTCAATTTATTTATTTTTCATTATCCATGTTTAAACTACTATAGCAAAAACAGATAGCCCTTCATCTAAATCTTACATAATGCATCTTTAATTGCATATTTATCTATGCGTAAAGCATCAAGCATTGATACGCCAACATTTTGCAAGAGATGGATGGAGAACAAGCGAAAAGTTATGGTCTGAAATGCGCGAAATTCGAAAGGTAGTGAGATCTTTGGGAAATAAAAATATATTTTAAGTTTCATCAAAAACGGACAAAAATGGTGACCTCTAGAGTGTCCACAACCTTCGTATTACATACTTTTACACTTACTGTGTACGTGGAGTGGCCATTTTGTCAGGAAGTTTTGCTACAATTTCCCAAAAATTTGACTTCAACCTTCCTTATGGTGTAACTGTGATATATTCTACCATTTTTTCAAATTGGATAAATATTGTGACCTCTAGAGGGAGCACAAGCAAAAGATGCTATTTTTCGTACAATGAAGGGCCATAATCCAGGAAAATTACAGTCTGATATATGCGCGAATATCATCAATAACAGATAAAAATTGTGACCTCTTAGAGTGTCCACAAGCTAAAAACATGAGTTTCGTGCAATCAGGGGTCATAATTCATGAAGTTACCGTCCAATCTCTTAGGGAGATAAAATGATATTTTAAGTTTCATCAAATTCAGATTGTGGACAGATGGACGGACAGGGGTGACGACAATATACGTTTAAAGAAATACTGGATTGCCCGAAAAACACTCATGGGGCAACCCGCCGGCTTATTGTCAGCCAGCTTGATTTAGAGAGCGGTTGTTGTTTCTTGATGGTTATGCGGTTGAGGGGTGTAAATGTATAACAGACTTTGCAATTAAACGACGGAAAAAGAAGTTGGCAGAAAAAAATTCAATAATTTATTTAGGTCTCAATATGTATGGTAAATGGAGAGTAAGTAATGACAAATACAATCTGAAAAATGGGCCCTCCCCCAATCAAGTTAGGTGACAAACATGGCTTCTAAAAATAGATTTTTTTTATAGCTTGGGGTATCTCCTCGCAAAGTTTTGAAAGGGATCTGAAGCATATTTTTGATAGATTAATTAGTTTGAATACGTTTTTAGTCCAAATATATCATCAAACCACACAGTTTGTATGCGGAGGGGTATCTTTAAGGATTTGATATAGTGAAACTATACATCACTTCCACTCAATGAGAATCAAAGTTCTCATGTTCCAAAGTCTCATCCAATCAAATGGTTTATCTCTCCTTAGCCTTAATGGAGAATGCTCATCATCAACCTCAGTCAGTTCTTCATCTTGAATTTAGTTTTTTTTATTTGTATCATTGATAGTACCAAAATGCATACATACACAGAGTGTCCTCTTGGTCCCAGTTTATTTGGCACTAAAGTTTTCTTTGATAGTATACTGTTGACCTTCTTTAAATCTGAGGCTTCAACAGCTTTCAGTAACTTTTCATCATTTTTGTTCCAAGCTGACAACTAAAACAAATATTTCATAAAAATGTATTAATCAAACTTACTAGTATGTAAATACCTATAGTATGTAAACTGGCTTGATATTATATAATTGCCTTCTAATGTCCACTGCCCTGCTGCGTAAAAGCTGATCATGAGCTATCTTTCATTGAGAATCATTATTCCACAGGTGAAATTTAAATAATTAGAAAGGAAAAATACAGTGTGTAATCTAATAGCTGGTTTAAACCCTTAAGTTAAACTAGTTAAAAACATTGGAGATAGATAAACCAGTTTTGCTTTGTCATCTGAAAGCAAAGGTGGGGCAAATAAACCCTTGAGAAGACTTTTTTTAAAGAATGAGTCGGCTTAAATTAGTTAAACTGGTTTGGCTTATAGTATGTGTGAAATAAACACTATCCTGTCTTAAAAACACCAGCGATTTTAAAATAGTTTAAATATTAGTATCTGAACAGCCTATAACGCAACAAAAACGTTTATTATTGTGGCGTGCTGGCTCGCTATTCTGGAGGTCTGAGGTACACTCCCGTTGTTGGTCGAGAAAGTTCCTTTGGATTTTCGAGCGTGGATTCCCCTTGTTAGTGGTTCAGGATGGAGGGCTAGACAATGACAGCTGTCTAGTCATTCAGATGGTACAAAAAACTGAGGTCCCATGCATGTAAAAGAACCCTTGACAGATGGAATTCAATATAAGAGTAGGCTGTAGTTCTGGGGGCAGTTTCACAAAGCAACTTACGATGAAAAATTTGTGTAAGTTTATCATAATGCAAACTTATGAAAAAAATCGTGTTTCATTAAACTTCTTAACTAAAGAAAATTTTAACTTTTATCGTAAAGTCTATGACAACTCTCACTCTATCGTAAGTAGGAATTCTTTATGTATCTTTGACAAAATGGCCGCTTCGTTGCAGATCACCAACTTCAGGGAGAGAGAATATATTACGGGATAGATTAAATCCTAACGACACCCATACCGATTAGGTGTTAGTTTCACTTTACAGGCTTGATCAGGCCAAAATACTATACATATTATTACCTGTATTCAAGGGCGTGGATTTGTCATAACTTTGGGGGGGGGGGGGCGAACCAACCCTGGAACCTGGAACATTTCATTGCCAAACCAAAATAATAACTACGAACAGTTTACTGTACCAGTGTTATTTCGATGAAAGCTGCAACTTAGGGTAATATGATGACGATATGGAAAAATTGACTACCTACATCAAAACTGAACAAAGCTACCATCAGGACAGTTCTCTATGAATTTCAGAACGGGACATTCATGTGAATATAAACCTGAAAATCTGTCCTGGCAATCAAAATCCAGGGGGGGACAGAGACCTATTCGTATCCCCTTCCGATTCTAAGGGGGGGGACACGTTCCCCCCGGTCCCCCACTAAATCCATGCCCATGCCTGTATTAATAAAGATATTGAAATCCTTGTCATCACCTGTACAAGCCTTGATTGCATTATGATACTATGCCCCAAAAGGCACAATCAACCTGTTCTTTATTATATTCGGAGAGCTAGAATTAGTAGAATAAATTTATTTGGCGGGGTCGCCTCGGGAAAAAACCTAAACCATGCTAGGCCTATAGGGACACTATTTCGCAAACGTATGAAATGGAATGTTACAAACTGTATTAAATGTTACAAATTGTATCTTTTAGTTTTAGTCCACATCGCCATGGCTTTTTTTTCAGCAACACTTTTCAAAATACCTGTATCCGCCCCTGGAATGTCCTACAGAATAGTAAAGTTTTGTAGTACAGTGCTCACCACTCCAGTCATCGAGGGAGCGCTACACCTAGGCCTACTATCTTGCGGCATTAGTACTAAATCCGCAACATCAATGACTGATTAGGCCAAAGTAGTATACTCAATCCTATCGTGCATGACACTGGATTTGGTGGGGGTCGGGGGGGGGGGGGGCGTGTCCCCCCCTTAGAATCGGAAGGGGGGGATGAATAGGTATCTGTCCCCCCCCCATGATTTTGATCGCCAGGACAGATTTTCAGGTTTATATCCACATGATGGTGAGCTTGATTCTACGTATCTGGAACTGAATCAGGAATTGGAACAAGAATTGCCATTCTTCAAGCGCCAGTTTTCGGCAAATCTATTTCACTTGTGCACGACGCGTTCCACATTATGTCACCTGAAGTGAGGCAGACGTTCCCTTCTATCGAAGCTCTTCTCATCTCACACTGCTGAACAAGCCTAGTTCCTGCTCAGCCGAGCGATCCTTCAGCACTCTGCGCCGTATCAAAACTTGGCTGCACAACTCCATGACGCAAAACCGACTGAGCCACTTGATGACGTGTGCGGTGCATAATGACCCACTTCATGTCGCCAAGACATTCAAAGAGAACAGTCCTGATCATAGAACGAACGTCTTTGGACGATTCACTTAACTTCATAAACAATTAATATTTATGCAGCTTTAATGTAGGTAGTCAATTGAATTTTTCCATATTGTCATCATATTACCCCTAGTTACAGCCTTCATCTAAATAACACTGGTATGGTAAACTGTTTGTAATTATTTATTTCGTTTGGTAATGAAATGTTCCAGATTACAGGGTTCGTCCGTCCCCCCCTAAAAGTTATGACAAATCCACGCCCTTGCTATCGTGGCAAAGACTGACATTCGGTTAAAATATTCTCACAAACTCTGAGAGCTGAAGATTCCAATTGTGTGTATGCTTTTTAGGTTCCATTCAGCTTTTGACAGACAGACAGACAGACAACTTATGCTACTATGTCATGCGCTATGATGTAGTAAACAAAAACAAGCAAACAAAAGGCATGAAAATAGCATTTTATTCATAAATTGACAGTAAAATCTAACATATAAATAAGGTATATATTATTATTTTCGTCGTTGATGTTTAAAAAAGTAAGGATAAATTAAAACATAACAGCTATCAGTGCAGACATTGTCAAAATTCAGACCGTGAGAATGTTTGCAGAAGTATGAATGGAGTGACGCAACATGACGTCAAGACCATTCGTGACATATTTACGAACAGAGATACGAAAAAAAAGTTAAGAGAAAACTTCTGACGGCATTTGTGAAACCGGTGTAAGTAATTTGTATCTTTTTCGTAAGTTTTTCTTAACTAGTTGTTTTTCTTAAAATTACGAACTTTGTGAAACTGCCCCCTGCTGTCCGGGCAAACTTTCCCTCATAACACACTACCTAGTTAGCGCAGAAAAGTAGGACGATCAACCCCATTTCATTTCATTATTTTGGCTTTGAATGGCATTTAGCGATTGAACATAATACAACAAAACACAGAAAAATAATATAATATCTAAAGCAAACTCTGAGTTCCACCAAATAATTTCTAAAATAACTAAAATCTCAACCCTCTGTTCTCCACATGTGATAAGAGTATTATCATTTATAACCAAGTTCCATTCTCTCTACATATCTTTAGCTAAAACAACAACATTTCATCCTAGCTAAACAGAAATTAAATCAAATTAATTAACTTACATCTGTGGTGCTCTTTGTTTTAAATTTTAATAATTTACGAACTCTTGCTCTATTCATGGTGGCAGGTTTTATTATGCTGTCGTTTCAAATTAAATTCTTTATTCTTTTCTTCATATAACAGGATTCCATTGTCCTAAAAAACAAATCCAAATATAATTATAGAATACTGAAATATTAGATAGGCAAAAATATATGTCAATGCAGATTGATTACATGCAGTACGTGTACAAGTGAATTTGTATGATTTAGTCCCATTATTTGTAGACCTGTAAAATAACAGATTGATTTATCAGTCGATGCTGCACAACCCAACAGATATGACCATCATACATGTATTTAAAAACCGGTTGCTATAAAGTCATTCTAATATAAAAATGGTCTCTATCCTTGCAGTCTACAGGTGGTAATTTTAAATAATTACATTTGTATAACAGTATACATGTACATATCAATTGGAATAAAGTTGAGATATTTTGACACGTCCAGTTGTTGGCTTTTTTGTTCAACTAAAATAAGCAGTTTTCAAGTCAAAGGATATTTAAAACTACTGGTCTTCATGTTATACAATGTATTCACATTGTTTCGTTGTAACGACTATGAAAACAAAACAAAGATGAAAATAATCATGTCCTTTAAATCCTTAGTATTGGATTAAATTTTTTTTTCTATTTTTTTTTAGCATTCGGTAGATCAACTGACTACATACCCTTTTGATGTACAAGATAAAATAATCTGCATCACCTAATAACAACATAAATTAATTAAAAACTTATCTCTGTATTATTATCTTTTTATGAAAAGAGGAACATTATTATAACTAGTAAGTTTATTCAATTTGATTTATTTTTGAAGCAGTAGCTGAATGAACACCATATTATGGTACATGTAGAATGGTTTTCTTATATACAAACCTTCTACATGTAATTTCATTGTACAAGATCTAAAGAAGTTAGATGTTGTGTGACAATAATATAAGACATGATGTACAATATTAAAGCTCTGACACTCCAGATTAAAGGTGTAAGTTCTGGGCTATATGCTTAATTTACTCAAAAATTTACTTAAACTGATCAATTCAAAGTATGGCCATTTCAAGCTAACTTTTGTTTCTACTGATTTCCCATCGGCATCTTTAAGTGTTTTTGATATAAAAGTGATATATGTATATTCTATTATTTTTTTTTTAAATAAGCCAGTCTACTATGCAAAATAACAATGATCTTTATATTAAAACTATACATATCGACTACTTTTGAGATGCATGTCAACAATCTGGATTTTCAAGTAATTTTGTTGAGAATGGTGTAATGCCAATCACAAAAAGAAGTTTGTACTGATTTTAAAAGGTGGGTGGGTGGGTATATCTGTCAACTTCTCGAGCCACAATAAAATGGGTTCCAGGGGCTTGCACCCAGAAATCTTTTAAACTAACCAATACATATTCACAAATTATTCATAAAGAATTGTAGATCCCACATGAATCATGTGTTTCAAGCAGCATTTCCCAAAATGAGTGATTGATATATCGACATAAGTCTTTCACTGTGGGAAGATTTTCAAAATATAAAACAAATCTATTAGAAGTGATTTATAAAGCATTTTGGTTTATAACAGATTGCTGATCAAAGGAATAACATGCAGGCCTAGCTCTACTCTTTTTTTCTTTTGTTACATGTATCTCAGAGTAAAACTGAAACGAAAAGCATCAACAAGATTTTGAAAACAAAAGAACAGATCTGCCACCAATATCAGCGGCTTGTTTTGTCCACATGCCATCTATATTGTCTGCAGATGATGTTCAATGTTGACAAATTTTCAATCATCATATCTTTGTGAATATGTAATGGAATTAAACCATTTTTGGACCGATATTCCTTCTAGAAATTTAACTTTCACAATATTCTAGTTTGCATGGGATTCCTCAATCCCTTAAAAGACAGCTGGCGGCTAAAAGTACAATAACTTTTCCAAGGTTACAACAATGTGTCATGTCTACAATCTCGCCAGATAAAACTGATTTTGATTTTCTAAAAAATATAGATTAGGCTGTAAGTACATGTAGCAGGGAACAGTTCAACAGGGAAAATGTATTCTGTCAATCTCGATTACTGCCTCCATGTGTGTGGGTGAAATAGTTTTATTTAATGTCTGCTTCCACCGAAGTGATATCGCAGACCATTATGTTATGAAATATTTACAGGCTGATCAGCGAAAAAGTGAACAAATTAGTTAAATATTTATATATATGTACATAAAGAACAAAAGAAAACTTTGAACTATATATTCAGTCACTTTTCAGGATAGAAAAACTGGCAAGAAAGCATAACATTTCCCAGGTAAATATTGTTCATTGCACAATAAAATAAAGTGGTTAATATAAAAAATATGGAATAAAATACAATATAATTTGAATATTTCTGTATCCAATGTATTATTATATGTGCAATGTAGATATTGTTCAAATGAATATAAATTAATAAACATACACTATTTAATGATAATACCTGGTAACTAACATGTAAGTTTAAATACATGTAGTTATATCTATTTTGGATGTAAACAATGTTATAATTAAGTGTGAGGTAAGCATACATATACATGTACATGTAGCATAATTAACAATGAGATAACATACATATTGTACCAATTAGTTTCCCATTCATGATCAATAATACCAGTGTCAGTGTATATTACATGTCAAAGGTGTTGTGATAATTATATTGACAGCTTTGTAAATATTGATATTGTACATTATTCATAGATATATGGAGATACTATTTATGCTAGTTATAAATATCTGTTGTCCATAAAAAATAAATTGTTTTTCTTGAAGTAAAAAAAAGACAATTATTGTCTGCAATGTTAGTTTCTTTACTAATCTGTAATTCTAATATAAATACAATATTTCGAAAGATGAATTTGTAAAAGGAATCTCAGTTCAAAAATGGTTCGATTCAATTAAATTACAAAGATATGATGAATTGAAATTTGTCAACTATATAAATGGCACATGGAGCAGATCTGTTCTTCTGTTTTCACCTTTGTTCGGCTTTCTAAATAATTTGTTTCAACAAACAGGAGGGAAGGGGTCATAAGGAGTAACAGTCCTGGGCATATATTTCAGGGTTGCATCCAATCAAAGAATTAAATTAAGTTGTTAACTTAGTTGTACTTAATTAAATTTTATACGTTTTGACCTACAAAATATCTTCCTTTCAAATTCAGTGCACTAGGCCCTATATACTTGGGGGCATACAATCAAGTAGTTGGCCCGACAGGTGCCGGAACGGTGGGGCTATGGGCGCAAATGCCCCCCCCTTAAACACGCGGCAATTGCCCGGCTGTCCTTACTGCCTTCCCTTTAAAATGTCTTTTGTACACCAGCAATGAGATTGTCTGACCTTTCTTCTCACTTAAACTCTTCCCGTTCTCGTCTCCAGTTAGTGGGTGGAGACTTGAGTGCGGGTTGACTAGTGAGTGGATTTCATTGTTTCTGCACCTGATTTTCAAAATTTTCTCGGGCTACTCCACCCCCCTTGACCCACCCCCAATTCCCTAAACATTCTAGAGCCCCTGGTTGGTCCTGAGGATCACCAAACCTCTGCACATCACTCACTGTTTGTTAACTGCATGTATGAGAACTCCTCAAGTGGTATTATAAAACATTATAATCTAGAATACCTGATTTTGTCATGGGAAGGAGAGACACTTCGACCATGGACCTTATATATATAAGATCCATGCTTCAATATTCCTTCGGTAAAGTCCACAAAACCCCAGGGACAAACCGACACAATATACTAAGTAACAACAATCAACTATGATATATTATGGTTCTGAAGAGAGTCTATTCAGAGTAGCCTATCAAATTTAATTAGAACATATATTTATGACCATGAAAAATTGACATAAAATTTAGGCCTCAAGCCTCAAGGCTTTTAATTTAAAATCTAAAATATGAAACTGTAATTCTATTGATACAAGGTTTAGCCTACATAATTCGATACAAATTGATTCTATGAAATATTTAAAGGATTTAGCATCATTTGTTGCATCTAACAAGGTGAGAGCTGTCAGGTATGATACACCTTGAAAATATGATAGGTGACAATGTCAATCAACGTCTCTGATCATAGAATAGGTTGCAATAGTTTTATCCCCCTGTTGTGCAGTAGCCTATCATTATGGATAGGTTGTCTGCAGATATGCTTCATCCATTTATAAATCTAATAACCTTACCTCTCTTAGCCTCAATAAATGTTTTCATTTTGAGATAAATGATAGTCACATATTTTGATAAACTTTACAGTAAAACCCACAGGTTGCGCATGTTACCTGTAGTCTTTCCGGTTTAATTATATTCTTCCGTTATTTGGCGACCGTCGAGTGTAGTCTTGATTGTCAAGTGTAGCTGTCACCTTAAAAGCCGTCTTGAAAAACGAGACAAAAGAACCGCGAGGGGAATAGGGGGAATACTGCCGTGAGTTATACATGATTGATCTCCACCGGTTATTGACAGTTATCTATACTCAGGGACATTGTGCAATACCAAAAATTGGCGATACACATCTCACATTACCTTTGAATGATGATGACCACGTATAATTACAATAACAGTAGATTTACACCGTGTTAGCTAATCGTTGATGCAGCCAGAGGGAGGAGTGAATGCCCTTATACATACACACATAAAAAACAACCACCCCACCGTAGCCGGTCAACTTTCCGTAGAAAGCTGCATAATATTATAGTTCTTCGGTGATAAAATAAAAATGTACACATTGTTTCTGTTACGTTGTTATAATTTTGGGGTAGCACTAAAATTATCGGCATTATAAACAAGACGCAAAGAATCCATGAAACAAATGCCTCAAATGAAATAACTAATATTATTATCCCGGTTGCTGTATGTTAGTGAGTGATTAGAAAAAAAAAATAAAATTCTAAAACTTTGTGCAAATAGTTACGGCGATCTCCGTTTCACGTGATCTGCTTTGGTGACTTACAATATCCGCGTTTTGTCTCACTTCCGGAATATCAATGTCTTTGTTTTCCAGTTTTGCCATGTATGGGTATAAAAAAAAAACAATATCACGGAATCGACTCATGTATGTCGACCAAAGAACGCAGAAGCACAAGATTCAGGCACATTTTTGAAGTGCCTAACATTGACGAATTCTTTTCCCTGAAGAAAATGTATGAAAGCTGACAATAACAAATAAATATTTTAAAGATGTTTTGTTATCCATTCTTGACTCTCTTTTCAATAACAGAATTAAGTTCGCTAGAATCAACATCAGTAGATTTACACCGTGTTAGCTAATCGTTGATGCAGCCAGAGGGAGGAGTGAATGCCCTTATACATACACACATAAAAAAAACAACCACCCCACCGTAGCCGGTCAACTTTCCGTAGAAAGCTGCATAATATTATAGTTCTTCGGTGATAAAATAAAAATGTACACATTGTTTCTGTTACGTTGTTATAATTTTGGGGTAGCACTAAAATTATCGGCATTATAAACAAGACGCAAAGAATCCATGAAACAAATGCCTCAAATGAAATAACTAATATTATTATCCCGGTTGCTGTATGTTAGTGAGTGATTAGAAAAAAAAAAAAAATTCTAAAACTTTGTGCAAATAGTTACGGCGATCTCCGTTTCACGTGATCTGCTTTGGTGACTTACAATATCCGCGTTTTGTCTCACTTCCGGAATATCAATGTCTTTGTTTTCCAGTTTTGCCATGTATGGGTATAAAAAAAAAACAATATCACGGAATCGACTCATGTATGTCGACCAAAGAGCGCAGAAGCACAAGATTCAGGCACATTTTTGAAGTGCCTAACATTGACGAATTCTTTTCCCTAAAGAAAATGTATGAAAGCTGACAATAACAAATAAATATTTTAAAGATGTTTTGTTATCCATTCTTGACTCTCTTTTCAATAACAGAATTAAGTTCGCTAGAATCAACATCAGTGGTAAACAACATTATATGTACAACCAAGCCAATATATTGTAGCCTTTATATTAAAATTAACTCAGGTGTATCCGCTTTCTTTGACCACCTGATAAAAAGTAATCAAACTTTGTATAAGCTCGACAATACCACAACCATTCTTAAAAATAAGATTGAAATATAATAATTATATTTAGCTGACCAAAATATAGCGAAAATATGGTCTATCTCTATATTCCCATTCTAAAAAAGAAATTGTAACTATAACGGAATTGTTTGGGCTTCTTGGCATAATCATGGTCCGTAAAATAGTCCTTATTGGTGATAAAATTTTGCGGGTCATGGTTATGCGAAGATGCGTTTCAGGTGAACCATTCACGTGTACCGGTAATACAGATGCCATTTTACAGGAGACAAAACAAAGTCTTTGCATTGAAGAACCAACAGATGGGATTTTTTCTTGGTGGCATTATAACTGGCCTGTTAAAGGACAATATTGGTGCCTGTCATTATCACATATGTGATAGAGCTGGTTAAACACATTCCAAATATAATTTTAACACAGGGATCATTGCTACGATAGCTGAGTAATATAGTTTTCCAGAATCAGAAGTGATGAACGCCAAAGGAAAACACGAGTCCTCTCTCTATATAACTGACTGATGTGACGAGTGATAACGGATATACGGGCGAATTTCTGCTCACTAATAATTCATTCGAAGACCAAAAGTTGTTGTATGAGATTGTGAGAGGATATCTGACAATTCGTAAAAAGAATTGACTGCCACTAGATAAGTGAACACGGAAGAAAAACAGAAAAAGTCCGTGCATTACCATGTTTTTATAAGATAGAATGAATATAAACGAGGGAATGTACGGATTATTTCTATTTTTCTCGTGTTCTCTTATCTAAAGACATTCAATTACTTTATTGCATTGTCAGGTTTCCTCTTACAATCCCATATATCAACTTTTGGTCTTCGAAGGAATTATTAGTGAGCAGAAATTCGACCGTATATCCGTTATCACTCGTAACATCAGTCAGTTATATAGAGAGATGACTCGTGTTTTCCTTTGGCGTTCGTCACTTCCGACTCCGGAAACCTGTATTACTCAGCTATCGTAGCAATGATCTCTGAGTTAAAATTATATTTGGAATGTGTTTAACCAGCTCTATCACACCAATATTGTCCTTTAACTAAACCCGCGAAAAGACAGGGGTACGCGTCAGACTTTTCTCGGCAACACCGTGCGCCCAGTTCAAAAACAGAGTATCATATTAAAGGCCACCCACGGCATGAGCGATTTGGTATATACTAAATAGTAGAAACGGGCCCCATTCGCGTGACTGGTTAAAAAAAAAATAAAATGAAGGGGGGAACTGTCACAGGACGAAAAATGGCATACAAAACGCAGGATAAAATCACAGGCAGTATAAAATTATTACAGCACCGTTTCATTTTTCGGGCACAATAACCCACACTATTGAAGGGTATATTATTAAACGACCACGACCACAAAATAAAATGAAGGGGGAACTGTCACAGGACGAAAAAAGGCATACAAAACGCAGGATAAAATCACAGGCAGTATAAAATGATTACAGCACCGTTTCATTTTTCGGGCACAATAACCCACATACCATTGAAGGGTATATTATTAAACGACCACGATGTGGCACCAATCTATTCGAACCATTCCAATCGATGTAAAGATGGCCGTTTGCCAAAACTTTCCAGTGATTATCATTCGCAAACCGAATCGAAGACTTTTCCTTCTTGTTAGGAGAATTGAGTAGCCTATACAACCGATAAAAAAAATCAAGGGTATTTTGCAATATCTGAATACATCTAACACGCAATATATTAGTTTTTGGTAGAATCTGTTTACTATGTATTGTAAAAAAAAAAAAGAAACAACAAAAAACGAACTATTTAATCAACTATTTCACGATTATTATATTTCGCGCACACACCCGTTTCACTCAACTCACAATCGCCGCCTCGCCGTACAGCGGCACTTTATACAGCAAACGTGCGAGCCTGCCACACGCGCTTCACCGGACAATAAATGTGGAGCATGCGTAGAGTAATCTATTCACGACAGTTATCCTTGGCTTCATTCCCAACCAAGTGCTCAGTTAGTCGGCGTCAATAAAAGCAGACGGGAACACGGGATAACCTAAACATGCAGTAAAAACACCCGGCTCGAACCACAATGGAAAATGGTTGAATTCTGTGCAGTTAACTGCGTAATGGTGGTACTACATAATATACATTGGTGTGTTTGACGTAGGCTAACAGTTTTTAACTTACTAGGATTTTTATATTATCAGCTGTAAAAATCGAAGTGTCGAATAAATTATTAGGGTGGCTTCCTACAATAGTAGCATAGGAAGGATTAACCCCCACCATGCATGGCTACAAAAATGTTCTGCGAGTAACTATTATGGGACTCGTTATACTTGAAGTGACCCTGGGGAACCAATACTACACTGACAGATGGGCAGTACATGTAGAAGGTGGGGAAAAAATAGCCCGTTCCCTGGCCGAAAAATACGGATTTGTTTATCTTGATCAGGTGAGTGAATTTTTACACAATGGTTGAGTGCCTATGTTCATTTAACAAAGGAAAAGTGTAGAAGGGATTAATTTATATACACAATACAAAAGCTGTGTGGTGACTATATCTATACATTGTTATGTAATGTATTGTGTTTATGTAATGTTATGAATATTATTGTGTAGTATAAATGTGTAAGCTGATATCCACTATATAATTTATTAGTATTAATTTCTGTCAGTATACTTTCAACATTACTAGAATTTAATCTATAATTGAGAGTAATTGATACATTGTATTGTGTATTAATAAATTATTAATAAATAGCTCACATTATTCACTTGGGTAGTGGGGTGGTGAGACAGTCACAGCAAGGAGGGTATCGTTTTGTAAAGATGTCCCTATGAGGGTAGTAGCTGCTTCTAGCAGCAGCAAATTAAAGAAAGGATTTTCAATAAGCCTTCCAGGAACAAAGCTCCGGAGAAATGTTTGCCGTTTCGAGCACATTATGCGCTAATAATTGCTTAAAATCCTGTATCTTATTAATATCACATAATTATCATTGTATAGTCAATAAAAATAAAGCCAAAAATTTTATAGCTCTATTTTCGGCAGACCTTTGTGGTCAATAATTTCGACAGTCTTGTTGAAAATAAAACCAATAAGATTATTGCGCCTTGGGATAAAAAGCTTACCGGTGGGCTTTCACTTTCATATTATTACAATCTTTGATTCTGTTTGTAGTTAAAACAATACATATTTGGGAATTTTTACAGTCTATATTATATTGCTGTGTATTATTTATTTAATGATATTTCTTAAAAGAGACATTATCACTTTGAATAACAAAATAAATGTAATTATTTTTACATAATATGTGATAATCAAATATAACTCCAGACGGGCAAATTGGCAAAAATCATCAGAAAAGTTGCATACTTATCAGAAAATCTGAAGTACAGGTATCAGGCCATAGGCAAACTAAATTCCAGTCAAATCATCTAACCTGTCTTCAAGCTCAAATATTTAAAAGAAACTGTCTAATCATACTTAGTTCCATTCATATCTGTATCAAAATTCATTCATGCATTTGGAAGGGTGCTACATTTATGGGGCTATGGTTACTGAACAAATTCAAAAAGGAGAACATCAGAATAAATGATTCAATTTTACTTTATTTTTATGAAATAAGAAGCATAACCCAAAATGATATTTAGAGACTGAAAGGGTTTGACAATAGTGCAGTATTAAGTACAATCCAGTGAATGCAACAGAAATGGATTTATCATATTTTTAGATCCCTTAGTGCATAATGGAAATATATAATTTAAAATTTAAATATTTTATCAGTAGGTCGGAAGTGCGTCTCTATTGTAAGTGTAATGGTTTCCGATATTGTTAATAGGGGGCTAATGTCGACCTTGCAACTGAAAGCAACTGGCGTTTCAGCAACAGGGAGCTACTGTAAGCAACTGAAAAATGTTGACCTGAGCACCTCTTACAACTCAAAGCAACTAGTTGAGGTCAGTTGCACATGTTGAACTTTCTGCAACTCGCTTTGGGGTGCTTCTTCTAAGTTATTTGCCATTTTGATAATCGCGTGATGAATAAATTAACAGTCGCGTGTTAAGTGTAGTCGCTATCTGTTCCGAATTCAGCTACTCTCAGTGGCATGGATAGGGGTAGGTAAGAGGTGGATAGCACCCTAAGATGCAGCCCAGAAGTGGTTCAAATTTGATATCCACTACCTTGATAAATCTGTCTTTCATTTTCCTACCAGGTTCTGAACATGGAAGAGTAAGCGCAAAAAATTTGACATTGCTCTAGGGTCTGAGAAAACCTTGTGTGTTCATTGTACTTCCCACCAGAAAGACACATAAAAGTCGAGAATTCCTTTAATTTTTCTGAATAGACTTTTAGTATTATTGAGGTTATTGGTAACAATTATTTTACCTTTTGTGGCTTGAAGGACCTGGAATGGGAATCGAAAATAAATTTTGTTTAAAAGCACATACATGTATTGCGAACTGACTAGACAATTAGCTTCTCCCTCCATCAGGGATGTTTGAATAATGACTTGTGTATGTCATGAAATATGTGTAGTGAATGTGCAGATTAAGTAGAAGAGACAATTTCCCTAGCCCTTGATGTCTGTCCAGTATTCAATTAAAAGAAAGTCACTACATTTCTATACATGTAAGAAGGAAGCCTGAAGAAGCTTGGCTTTATGAGTACATTGGTTATTTACAATTATAAGTTAATTAGGTGATGGGAGACAAAATCAGACAATGCCCATTCCCTTCTGTAATCTTGATGAATTTAAGCATAATCTTGACTTGCTAAATCAATGACTTATTCTCCACCTTATTGATTTTTATTACTGAAAGTGAGTGCAAAATTTATCATCAGTGATACATATTTGCTTATTATTACTAATATCTCTTTTAAAGTGAGGGTCTCTCTGAAAGTTATATCAGCCTTCCATACAACTTTTTCCTGGCATCATTGCCGAATCTCTGTTGTTTCTACTGAAGTATCTAGTTCCTGAATTTTTGATAATCAAGATGTCTAATAAATCGTTCAAGGTGATTAAGACTTATAGTAGTAATGAGTAATAAATGTGGACTATTTTTTTGTCAGTTCACAAATAATTGATATAAACAAATATGCAATCACTCCAGTGGAAATGCTCGGATCCTACATGAAGCTACATGTAGCTTATTGTCCTCGGTGGAAAGCGCCAATATTGTTACAAAGTAAACTAATTTTAAAGCACAATATTCCAGACTAAAAGGCAAAGAGACGATGTGCATCAAAAAGGATATTGGTCCAAACATTATTTAATAAAAAAATTATAGCCATCTAAATTTCTCATTACTTTCCATTGATTTCATGCAGCTAATCTAGAGTACAATATAAAGAACACTTTTTTAGACTTTAATTTAGCCACTTTTAAACAAGGAAAATGACGATTAGTGCATTGAAAAATATATTCGTTTATTGCCTAAGCAGGACTGCCTCTTGAACATAAGCTTTCCAATCATGGTACAAACTGTACATTACAGATATTGTATTGTTAGCTGCCTTAATACGTAGAATTAAATTAAAATGTGCATCATGAATAATGACTTAGTGTTGACTAGCATTGTATATTTTATACATACATGTATAGTTCTAGAACTTATTAGAAATATACTTTACAGACATTTTGATACATTTTGTGAATCTTGAGTTGTTAAGTTGTAATTCTTCAAACAATGGAGTGACTCTATAGTCCAACCAAATAGATTCAAAAGTAAAAGAAAATCCTTGATTATCGGTTTTTGGGGTTTCTTCTCTAATGTGTGCTCATGCACGCTTGGTAGTCTTGTAAAGGCAGGCATGGTATAAAATACAATGTTTGTTCAGTTGTCACTTTATTGTGCTTCATTGCTTCTGTACATATCCCTTCCTTAAAAAAAATCATTGGAGAAGAAAAAAAAAGATTGAGGGTGAGATGGAAAAGAGTTTGATTGTGAAAGAAATTAACCAGTTTCTCCAAAAGAAAGTTGGCATATTGTAAGAAATTGAAATATAATGAGATTGTGTAAAGTCCCTGTGTGCTTACTAAACTGTACAATAAGTTGAGGAAAAAAACAACAAGGAGTATATTAACATACATGTAGGTAATTTAATAATTTTAATTTATTCAATTTTCGAGAAATTAATTTTGATTTCTTTTAAAGACCACTGCTTGCTAACAGACAGTATCAGATGTAATACCCCCACAGTGAATGGCTTGACATGACACCTTAAAGAACAGAAAACCTGGTGTGTCAATCAGTTTACAGGACATCATGCTGATTCAAAAACCAGCTGGCAATCAAGCAGAAACTCTTTCTTCATTCACATGAAATTGTTGGTGGAACATGGCACTGAATTACCTTAGACAACTTGCTTCTTAATAGAGGACTTAGTAGATAAATATTTTTACTTGTTACATGTAAAAGCCATCATGAAATGCTCTGATGTTCAATTCCCATTTGTCAAATGACCAACAGACGGCTGTACATTGTAATGCTGAATTGTTCAACTCCTGACTTACATGTAGGTCAGCAATCAGTTGGGCTATAATTGTACCATCATGTGGTCAAATAAAGTAAGGCATGCCATGGAATAAAGAATTGTACATGTAATCCTGACAGACAGATAGATGTGTGGAAGTGCTGATAATACTTTTTATCTTCTTGTGATTAGTAATGTGTGGCATTTTATGTTCTGCATTTTAAAAAGAGATGTTTAATCTTGCTAGTCCATAAATAAAAGTGCTAGCTTGACTGTGTCATTGCAGATCTTGAAAGAGCACATAAAGGTTACATCAGTAATGGCACACATACAACCAGTAAATGGTTGGATAATAGATATTGTTCTACACATGCAAGTCTTAGGTAATGGCAAATAGTCATTGTCAACAGGTACAATGTAATTAATATAATTTTCACCATAGGCACTTTTAACAATAACTATAACTAGAAGATGTACATATACCAATAGTTATACCTATTTTGATAAGCATGAAACCTATTCATGATGAGAAATAGAAGCTTTGCATGATTCAGTAATGACAGCCAAGTGGAATGGTGGAGATGCTGATAATTAATTATTGATATGAAACCTGTGTTGCCCTTAGAGACAAGTTTTTAATTCTGGACAAGTTGGATGGCTTGAATCAATAGATTCTCAATACATCCAGTCTGCCATGAGAAAACATTGAATTTAGAGCAATATTTTGCCTTGATATGTAGTAGTCCATATATTTTATGGTTTGATTCATTTAAGTTTTATGTATGTTTTGTGGAATGAGATCCAGATGATTTTAGATACTGCAGATTTTGTAATTGTATCCAATGTTTGAGATCTCCTTGTAAGCGGTCACGTTAAATTCCCCCCGTAAAAATTTGGTTGTTTCATCTCTTTATTCAACGGTCACTCCTCGCGGCCAGCGGTCATTATTTTACTAATAAATTTAACAAAACATC